TTTACTAGAACGGTTTCCAGGAAGTCTAGAAACAACTAATTTTGGAGATCCAAAAACATTTTCCAATACAGCTAGCTCTTGAATAACATGGGTTGACTTTAGACTAACAGGTTTGAACTGCACAGGTCCCTTTTTTTTTTCTTTTTTTTAGATTTATTCATGAGAGACACAGAGAGAGACAGAGAGGCAGAGACACAGGCAGAGGGAGAAGCAGGCTCCATGCAGGGAGCCTGATGTGGGACTTGATCCCGAGGCCTCCAGGATCCGGCCCTGGGCTGAAGGCGGCACTAAACCGCTGAGCCACCAGGGCTACCCCCAGGTCCACTTTTATGCTAATTTTTTCAATATGTTTGTTTTCTTGGAGAATTGCAACAATTAAAAAAAGTCACAGAAGAACCTCACAGCCTAGAAATATCAAAAAGTTAAGAAAAAGGTATGTCATACATACATAAAATACACATAAGTCTATTATAAAAAAGTTAAGATTCATCAAAATTTACACACATACAGACTGCATATGGCATCATCTGCAGTTGAAATATAAACAAATGTAAATATACAGTATTAAATAACTGCATAAAATTAAATGTAGTACTACTGTAATAATCTTGCAGCCACCACCTGTTGCTATTGTGGTAAGCTCAAGTGTTGTGTTGCTTAGAACACTATATGATGTTAATCACCTCCATCTCTCCAGCAAATTACATACTGCAATAAAAAAGTGACTTCTTGCAGTTCTCACATGTTTTTTCTGGTGTTTAGTACAATACCATAAACTTTTTTTAAAAAGATTTTATTTATTCATGAGACCTACAGAAAGAGAGAGAGGCAGAGACACAGGCAGAGGGAGAAGCAGGCTCCCCCCTGGGAGCCTGATGTTGGACTCAATCCCAGGACCCCAGGATCACAACCTGAGCCAAAGGTAGACGCTCGACCACCGAGCCACCCAGGTGTTCCCATAAACTTTTAAAAAATATCAAGGGACCCATACAAAGTGCTGCTAGTGATGTTGGAAGTACTCTCAAGAAGCAGAAAAGAGTCATGACATTACAAGAAAAAATTGAATTGCTTGGTATGTATTGTAGACTGAGGCTTGCAGCTGTGGTTACCCACCATTTCAAGATAAGTGAATCCAGTATAAGGACCATCGTAAAAAAAAGAAAAAGAAATTGGTGAAGCCATCACTGCAATTACGCTAGCAGATATGAAAACCTTGCACCTTTTATCTTGTGTTAAAAATGCAACTTTATGTGATTATAAGACCTGTTGTAAGAAAGGCATGCCTGGAGGCTTTAATACAATTCAAGAAAAAGCAAAGTCATTATATGACAACTTAGAGCAAAGGAAAGGTGAAGGATCTAAAGCTGTAGAATTTAATGCCAACAAAGTATGGTTTGATAATTTTAGAAATAGGTTTGGCCAAAAAATGTCAAGGTAAAGCAAGCCAGCTTCTGCTGACCAAGAAGCAGCAGACAGTTCCCGGATATCATCAAGAAAATGACTGAGGAGAAAGGATATCTGTCTGAGTAGGTTTTTAATACAGTCAAAAATGTCCTGTTCTGGACAAAAATGCCTCAAAGGACATTTATTTTTATGACATGGACCCTTCTATGATATGGGCACGGAACCATGGGCAAATGGTAGAAGAAGGATTGGTAATGTATAAAAACATTTTTAAAGAAATGTAAAAGCAAAAAAAAAAATCACACAGAAACTGTAATGTATTTTCATAAAGTTACACCAAATGTGTCTGCTTCTCCTGCCTCTTCTTCCACCTCCTCTACCCCTTTGGCCTCTGCCACCCTCTAAGACAGCAAGACCAACCCCTCCTTTTTCTCAGCCTACTCAATGTGAAGACAAGGATGAAGATCTTTATAATTCTCTCCACTTAACAAATAATAACCATGCCATACAATTAATAAACTTATCTGTTGTGTGTTTTCATGTGAAAATCTAATAATGTAGAACAAGAACTGTATGAGACATTTCTGTGTCATCATCATCATCATATGCAAGACCTGTATGGAAGTGGACAGACTATCCTTACATAGATGTAAGGTGAATAATATTTAATATAAACTTAATAATGTGTTAGCTTTCAGAGGAGGGGCAAGATGGCGGAAGAGTAGGGTCCCCAAATCACCTGTCCCCACCAAATTACCTAGATAACCTTCAAATCATCCTGAAAATCTACGAATTCGGCCTGAGATTTAAAGAGAGAACAGCTGAAACGCTACAGTGAGAAGAGTTCGTGCTTCTATCAAGGTAGGAAGACGGGGGGGGGGGGGGGGGGGGGGGAACAAAAGGCATCCAAGGGGGAGGGGCCCCGCGAGGAGCCGGCCTAAGGCCGGGGCGAGTGCCCCCAGGACAGGAGAGCCCCGTCCCGGAGAAGCAGGAGCTTCTTCTTCTTTCACCAATTTTCCCAGGCGGAAAGGCGCCAGCAGGGAGTTAGAGCAGGACCCCAGGAGGGCGGGGATGCCCTCAGGCTCCCTGGGACATTAACAGACACCTGTGTGCCCAGGAGAGTGCGCCGAGCTCCCTAAGGGCTGCAGCCGCGCACACATTGCCCCGGGAGCAGCTCGGAGCGGCTCCGGCAGAGGAAGAGGCTCCGTGCGGAGGGGGCTGCGTGGCCCCGGAGCAGCTCAGAGGGGCTCGGGAGGCGGCTCCGCGGAGAGGTGGCTGCGCTGCCGGGAGCGCAAATCCAACAGCGTAGGCCCGGGAGCACAGGGCGCCGGGACACAGCCCAAGATCCGGCCTCCCCCCAGGACAGGCAGAGGCCGGGAGGGCACAGGACAGCAAGGACACTCCTGCCCAGAGCTGAGCAGATCAGCAGCCCCGCCCCGGAGCCTCCAGGCCCTGCAGAAGGAGAGCTCCGGATTTACTGCCGGGGGCTGAATCCAGGTTTCCAGAGCTGCCACAGCCACTGGCGTGGTTCCTCCAGGGGCCTCACGGGGTAAATAACCCCCACTGAGCCCTGCACCAGGCAGGGGGCAGAGCAGCTCCCCCAAGTGCTAACACCTGAAAATCAGCACAACAGGCCCCTCCCCCCGAAGACCAGCTAGACGGACAAGTTCCAGGGGAAGTCAAGGGACTTAAAGTATACAGAATCAGAAGATACTCCCCCGTGTTTTTTGATTTCTGATTGCTTCCCCCACCCTTTCCCCCCTTTCTCTCTTTTTCTTCTCTTTTTTCCTTTTTTTCCTTTTTTTCCCTTTTTTCTTTCCTTCTTTCTCTCTCTTTTTCTCCTTTTCCCAATACAACTTGTTTTTGGCCACTCTGCATTGAGCAAAATGACTAGAAGGAAAACCTCACCTCAAAAGAAAGAATCACAAACAGTCCTCTCTCCCACGGAGTTACAAAATCTGGATTACAATTCAATGTCAGAAAGCCAATTCAGAAGCACTATTATACAGCTACTGGTGGCTCTAGAAAAAAGCATAAAGGACTCAAGAGACTTCATGACTGCAGAATTTAGATCCATCCAATCAGGCAGAAATTAAAAATCAATTGAATGAGATGCAACCCAAACTAGAAGTCCTAACAACGAGGGTTAACGAGGTGGAAGAACGAGTGAATGACATAGAAGACAAGTTGATGGCAAAGAGGGAAACTGAGGAAAAAAGAGACAATTAAAAGACCATGAAGACAGATTAAGGGAAATAAACGACAGCCTGAGGAAGAAAAACCTACGTTTAATTGGGGTTCCCGAGGGCGCCGAAAGGGCCAGAGGGCCAGAATATGTATTTGAACAAATCATAGCTGAAAACTTTCCTAATCTGGGAAGAGAAACAGGCATTCAGATCCAGGAAATAGAGAGATCCCCCCCCAAATCAATAATGTGTTAGCTTTCTTACTGTTTTTATAACTTTGCTTTCAAAGAGTAACATTACCATAGAGTGTGCCCTTCTCTCTAGTAAATGAGGAAGGTGCATAGCAGCCTATCATTACAGATAAGTGGTTTTTAAAAAAAGTAACACTTTTTTCAATACTATGTTATGAATATGATTAGAATATTGTTTGCCATAAAAATTTTATGACTCATTCATTTGTGTATAGGTTAGACTACCATAAAGCATTCATATTGCTACTGCTTCCTTATCAATATATATTATATCTGTAAATACAAATTTTTCATATTATCTTTTCATTTTTGATATCTAATGTTAGTTACACATATAACATCTACAGTGTTTTGTATAAGACAATATTGATGTAGGTACTGACAATCTTATAAACAGATGATACAAACTTATGATATCAATAAATAAAATACAGTACTGTAAATGTATTTTTTTATGATTTTTTTTCTAACTTTATGAATACAGTGTATAATATATATAACATACAAAATGAATTAAATTGACTGTTCAGGTTATTAGTAAGCTTCTAGTCAACAGGCTATTGCCAGTTAAGTTTTGGGAAAGTCAAAAGTTACACATGAATTTTCAGCTGCGCTGCAGGACGGGATGGAAGAGTCAGTGGCCCTAAACCCTGCACTATTCAAGGAACAATGTTATTCTAGAGTTCAAAATACTTTTCTAATATGAAGCAGACTTAGTTCTTTAATCAAATATAAAAATTATATATTTAATCAAATGTATAGACTATTTTAATCAAAGCTAAATTTTCAACCCTACTTACAATGGATTTTTTTTGAACTTCCAATATTTGCATATCACTCAATGGCATGCTTTATTTTTTTTTTTAAAGATTTTATTTATTTATTAGAGACACACAGAGAGAGAGAGAGAGAGAGAGAGAGAGAGAGAGAGAGAGAGAGAGAGAGACAGGCAGAGGGAGAAGCAGGCTCCATGCAGGGAGCCCGACATGGGACTAGACCCCGGGTCTCTAGGATCATGCCCTGGGCTGAAGGCGGGTGCTAAACCGCTAAGCCATTGGGGCTGCCCGGCATGCTTCATTTAAATATATTTTTCTACAAATAACAAAATTATATTCATTGGAGACAAATTATTATAACTTTGAATATATGACATACATACCTGAGGTATACCAGCACCTGTTTGCATAGAAGACTTTTTCAATAGTCTCACTTCTTTGTTTATGTATCTTAGCATTCCACTGAGAGTACTGAAGTCATTATTCTCAGAACTATCATCTAGGTCATATGTGAGAGGTTTAAATGAGTCTGACTGGGTATAAGTCAGATCCTTCTGGCTTTCTTCTAATGTTGAAGGCTGTTCTAACTGCATTTTTTTTAAGTCCTGTAGTAATTCTTCGGAAAGATCTTCATCACTATGAGTCTTGAAATTAAGGTCACTGGCACTAATAGAGCGACGCAGTTTTCTACACTTGAAAAAGGCTGTGTGAGAATGTTTAGCAAATTTTGGATCTTGAATGTCAGGCATAATTTCTGTTGCAGATGCAAGCAGGGCTGGTAGAAACTTAATGTCTTCTGCCCTTTCACGTCCAGAAATTTTGGCTTGTAATCTGGTTAATTCTGATTCCTGTAGAAAAATACATAGGTGTTCAATACTTTTTTGTTAAATGAATAAGTTACTTAAATGTCTTCTAAGAGTCCATCCATGATTTCTTAAGTCAACCTTCTGCCCAGAACACATATTTCTTTTATAGCAACCCAAGAGATATTTCAAAGCTCTGTTTAAACCCTTCATTTTGGGACAATTAAATATGTTCACTTGAAATATGTTAAAACTATATTAAGGAATTCCCTGATAACTAGATTTTCCTTATACCAGTTTTTCTTTAACTGCTAATGACAGTATCAGTTTCTATTTAAGGCTGAAATGTTACATCTAAAAATTTATTTTCCTAAGTATAATGATACACTATATTTTGCTCACCTAAAATATATATACATATGAAAAACTTCTCCCTTCAGAATTCCTTATAGGAAATAAATCTATATTAACTACTCTGCTTCACATGTTCTCATTATACAAAAGCTTCATTACACCAGAAATTTTTCAAAGAAAAGCCTTTTTTGAAAGTGATTTAGTAAGGACTGATTAAATATTAAGCTTTTCAATCTTATTATTTTTCCATGTCCTTCATTTGGGTCCTCTGACCCAACTTTGGAATCCTAAGAATGAGACTACATGTACTGAAAAATCATAAAGCCTAAAAAAATGAAGAGAAGACATAAATTAAATAATGTGTAGTAGTCTTCTGTTCAAATACATTTTCCTTTTCTTATAGGTATTAGTGACTTTTAATCTGATAGTTTCTATTCTTTCTAAAAATACTATACTTACTAAAACTCATAACCACAGAATACATTACAAAATGAAAGTTTAACATGATTATTTCAGTTCTTTGATATCTGTTACAAGTTAGTTACAAGTGGCCAAACAAAACAAAACAAAAAACTCCAAAAAACCCCAAGTGGCCAGAGTGCCAATTTTTGTAGTAAATCTTGTATTTACATTCTTATAATCACAATTAATAAAGTAGCTATAGAATTGACACCCACAGCTTGCGTGCAGTTGATATTTTTTAACTCTAGCTACAGAGTTATTTAGCCATAATTGAGGATTGTGGTATCTCAGATAAGTAGGAATCCATGTAGCTTTCAGTTTAATATTTAGTTCTTATAATGAAATGTAGTATACCTTTAAACCTAATTCAACTTTTTCTTAAGACTCAAAGAAGATCACTGTTGTGGTCACTGTTACAGCATGCCATAATATAGTAAGGCTGTTAGCACTCTCAGAAAATGGTCTAAGCTTTGCCCTTGTTCCAGTTAACCTCATAATAGGGTATTTATGAGGGTACTAAGTGAGTTGGAAAGATCAGTTGCCTCCAACATTCTTCCTTCTCCCTCACTTCTGTTTCTGTTCTTTGTCATTTACTGCTGCTGTCAGTGGAACTGCTATTATTTATAGCTACTTCTAATTGTTATACCAGCTTCTGCTTGTCTATTAGCTTTTTTTTTTATTCTGTCCTCCTTTTTTAAAAAAAATATTTATTTATTCATGACAGAGAGAGAAGAGAGAGAGAGAGAAAAGCAGGCTCCATGCAGGGAGCCCAATGCAGGACTCGATCTCAGGACTCCAGAATCACACCCTGGGCCAAAGGCAGGCACTAAACTGCTGAGCCACCCAGGGATCCCCTATTCTGTCCTCGTTAACTCTTCTTCAGTCTAGACTTTAGAGCCAGTTAACAGTGACTTTGAGAGTTACAAAGTTTATTTAAAGAGTAATGGACAAAAGCTTCTTTAACTTGAAAAAAGAAATAGACCTCCAGATCCAAGAAGCACAGAGAATTCCAGATATGATGAATCCAGAGACCCAAACTGAAACACATTATAATTAAATTGTCAAAAATCAAAGACAATGAGAGAATCTGAAAAGCAGTAAGAGAAAAACTACTTCTTATATAGAAGGAAACTCCTGTGAGACAGTCAAAAGAAAAATCACAGGCAAGAAGAGAGTGGCATGATATATTAAAAGTGGTGAAAGAAAAAAAAAAACTGCCAACCAATAATACTCTTCCTGGCAAAGCTGTCCTTCAGAATTAAAAGTTAAGCATTTTCCAAACAAGGAAAAGCTAAAGGAATTCATATCTACTAGACTGGACTCACACTAAATTTTAAAGGGAATTCTTCAAGCTGGAAAAAAAAAAAAGCTAAATAGTAACAGGAAATCACACGAAAGTTTCAGTCTCATTGGTAAAAGTAAATATACAGTTAAATTCAGAACACTCTAATGTTCTGATGGTAGGTGAATCACTGTAACTCTAATATAAACAATTAAAAGACATAGAGAGGGGGGATCCCTGGGTGGTTCAGCGGTTTAGCACCTGCCTTCACCCCAGGGCATGGTCCTGGAGTCCCGGGATCCAGTCCCACGTCAGGCTCCCTGCGGGGAGCCTGCTTCTCCTTCTGCCTGTGTCTCTGCCTTTCTCTTTGTCTCTCTCTCTGTCTCTCTCACAAATAAATAAATAAAATCTTAAAAAAAAAAAAAAAGACATAGGGAGGAGTTCCTGGAAAGACCGAGTAGGAGGATCCTAAACTCACTTCATCCCACGGATGCAACTAGATAACACACACATCAGGGTAACTAATCCAGAAAATGACCCAAAGACTAGTAGAACAGATTCTCTACTGCTAACTGTAGAGAAGAGGCCACAAAGAAGAGGGTAAGAAGGAAGGAGACTTAGTTAGGAGCCAAACTGACCAGTGGGACTGTCTGCAGGAGGGAATGATACTGGTGGGCATGGAGAGGAACATACTATGCCAGAACCCCAGGGGACCTGCCCTGGTATACCAGATGAATCCCTGTAACATTTGGCTTTGAAAACTGTAGGGGCTCAACTCTGTGAGTTCTTACCATCAGTGGAACTTTAAAAATCAGCAGGCTGGACTCTGGGAGAGGAGCTGGAAGGGTAGAGTCCCCACCCTTAGAGAGACAGAGCAGCAAACAGTCCCATAAAGATATAGCATAGAATCAGCAGTTTGAAAAACTGCCTGGGGTAAATGAGAGGAAGATCAGTTTACTAATCTCAGGGCGTGTGTATTGGAGGGGGCAGGAATTTTTGGAAGGCTCTAAGAACACAGAGCTGCTGGAAGCCACTTCCCTCCCTTGCCCCCCAGCCTAGATAAATAAGACACTTGTGGGAACCAGTGCAGCTCAAACACTTTCCACCTAGTTTTTTAACAGTGTGCCCTATCCCTATGTCCTGCGGATTTGCCCTATGCAACCTAGCCTGGGCAAGAGTTTTCAAAAGTGGCTCCAAGTCCCCCCCTATAGACTAGCAAATACTGTGCATCCCACCCCTGTATTCTCCTGCAGACCTGCCCTTGACAGGAATCTATCTAAAGTGGTGGTACAAGTTAGCAGTGTGAAAGCAGCCCTGACAGGGGCCACCACCACTCCAAAGTGCCTCTTGCTCCAGGAAGAGGGGAAGATAACCACACATATCAGTACAACTGTGGCCCCAGTGGTGGGCTGGGGGCAGACATCTGGTCTGACTGCAGGCCTTGCCCACCAACAAAAGCTTCTTGGGGACAACACACGGAGGGTATCCTGCAGATCAGTGCTACTGTAGCTCTAGCAAATGCCTGGTCTGACCCAACCCAAGCCCGAGGCAGCCTCAGACTGGCCAACTAATAACACAGGGACCAAACCCTGTCCACAACAGGCAAAGACAGTCATTGCAGATGAATGGACTGAAGGCAAATGCAGCTCAGCAACAACCATAGAACACACATAAAAGACACTTCTGGAGCATGAAATTCTGGTGAATAGGGAATAGTGCAGTGTGGGGTCAGATACAGGACCTCTTCTTCATAAGGCTGTGACTTTCAAGATCAGAAGACATAGCTGATTTTCCAAACACAGAAACAGACACAGAAGGACAAAATGAGGAGGCAGAGGAATCCATCTCAAATGAAAGAGGACAAATCACAGCAAGAGAGCTAATGAAACAAAGATAATATGCCTGATGGAGAATTTAAACTAATAGTCATAAAGACCCTCACTGGACTTGAGAAAAGAGTGGAGGACCTCAGTGACACCCTCAATAGAGACAGAATACATTTAAAAAAATCTATCAGAGATGCAGAAATCCTCAACAAAATATTAGCAAACTTAATCCAACAATACATTAAAAAAGTTCATTCACCATCAAGTGAGATTTATTCTGGGGTTGCAAGGGTGGTTTGCTATTCATAAATCAATGTAATACATCATATCAACACTAGAAATGATAAGAACCACAGGATCATTTCAATAGGTGAAGAAAAAGCATTGACAAAGTACAACACCCATTCATCCACTCATGATAAAATCACTTAACAAAGTAGGTTTATTTTTTTCCCAAAGTAGTGTTTTTTTAATTTTTTAAATTTAAATTCAATTAGTCAACATATAGTTGTTTCAGATGCAGTGCTCTGAAACAACTAATATATCAGCTCATCATTAGTTTCAGATGTAGTGTTCAATAATACATCAGTTGTCAACAAAGGTTTAGAGGGAACATACCTCAACATAATAAAGGCCGTATGTCAAAAACTCATAGCTAACATCATACTCAATGGAGAAAAACTGAGATCTTTTCCCCTACGACCAGGAATATGACAAGGATGTCTACTCTCACCACTTTAATTCAACACAGTATTGGAAATCCTAGCCATAGTTATCAGACAAGGAAAAAAGGCAGCCAAATTAGTAAGAAGTAAAATTTTCACTATTTGCAGATGACATGATACTATGTATAGAAAACCCGAAAGACTCTACCAAAAAAACTACTGGAAAATAAATGAATTCAATAAGGTTGCAGAATATAAAAATCAATATTCAGAAACCCATCACATTTCTATATACTACTAATGAAGTAATAGAGAAATTAAGAAAACAGATGAGTAAAATAGGTGATGGGGATTAAGGAGTGCACTTGTCTTTATGAGCACAAGGTAATGTATGGAAATGTTGAATAATTCTATTGTACAACTGAAACTAATATAACATTGTATGCTAACTGTACTGAAATTCAAAATAAAATAAAATTGGGATGCCTAGGTGGCTCAGCAGTTGAGCATCTGCCTTTGGCTTAGGGCATGATCCCACGGTCCCAGGATCGAGTCCCACATTGGGCTCCCTGCATGGAGCCTGCTTCTCCCTCTGCCTCTGTTTCTGCCTCTCTTTCTCTGTTTCTCATGAATAAATAAGTAAAATCTTTTTAAAAATTAAATAAAAAATTTTAAAATTTTAAAAATAAAAGAGATAAATATAGATTTCATGTGAATGGAAATCAAAAGGATACTGGAGTAGCTATACTTACATCAGAAAAAATTATCTTTTTTTTTTAATTTTTTTTTTATTTACTTATGATAGTCACAGAGAGAGAGAGAGAGAGAGAGGAGAGAGAGGCAGAGAGACACAGGCAGAGGGAGAAGCAGGCTCCATGCACCGGGAGCCCGACGTGGGATTCGATCCCGGGTCTCCAGGATCACGCCCTGGGCCAAAGGCAGGCGCCAAACCGCTGCGCCACCCAGGGATCCCAGAAAAAATTATCTTTAAGCCAAAACAGTAAGAAGAGACAAACAATATCATTATGTAATGATAAAAGGATCAATCTAATAAGTATATTATGTAAATATAATTTTATGGACATGCATTTTTATGGACCAAAAAAACATAGAAGCACCTAAATATATAAAGCAAATATTAACAGACCTGAAGGGAGAAAAATACAGAAATATAATAATGGGAGAGGACTTGAATATCCCATTTTCATCAAAGGATAAATCAAGGCAGAAAACTCAATAAGGAAAAACTAGACTTGAACTGAACATAAGATCAAATGGACTTAATAAGCATTTGTAGAACATTCCATACAGCACAAAGCCTGTATACATTCTTCTCAAGCATACAAGGAACATTCTGCAAAGTAAACCATGTGTTAGGCCACAAAACAAGTCTTAGTAAATTTTAGAAGACTGAAATATTAATATATTCCAAACACAATAGTATAAAATCAGAAATAAATTACAAGAAAATTGACAATTCACAATTATGTGGGGATTAAAAAATATGCTACCAAACAACCAGTAGGCTAAATAAATTTTTAAAAAATTATCTTGAAACAAATGAGAATTGGAAATACAACATACCAAAAATTATGAGATACAGCAAAAACATTTTTAAAAGAGAAGTTCATAGTGCTAAACACCTACATTAGAAAATAAGATCGCAAACAAGCTAACTTCACACTTTTAGGAACTAGAAAAAAAAATAAACTAAGTCCAAAGTTAGGTGAAGGGAAAATAACAGATCAGAGCAGAGAGACTAAAAAGACAACAGGAAAGATCAATGAAACTGATAAAAAAGCTTTTAAAAAGATAAACAAAATACAAATATTTAGCTAGATTTTCCAAGAAAAGAAAAGGGCTTTAATAATTAAAATCAGAAATGAGAGACATTTTAACTGCTACCAAACAAATACAAAGAATCATTAGAGACTGATATGAAGACTTATATGCCAACAAATGGACAACCTAGAAGAAACTTCTAGGTTCTAAGAAACATAAAATTTACCAAGACAGTCATGAAGAAATAGAGTATGTGAAAACTTCTAGGTTCTAAGAAACATAAAATTTACCAAGACAGTCATGAAGAAATAGAGTATGTGAAAAAAACTGATTAATAGTAAGGAAATTGGATAAGTAATTAATTTCCAAACTTCCAAAGAAACAAAAGTCCAGGATCAGATGACATCCGCTGTAAATTCTACCAAACATTTAAGGAAGAATATCAACCCTTCTCAAACTCTTCCAAAAAACAAACAAACAAAAAAACAGAAAAGAAGGGAATCCTTCCAAACTCATTTTATAAGGCCAGTGTCATCCTGAGATCAAACTAGACAGGGAAGCTATAAGAAAAGCAGAGACCAATATCCTTGATGAATATAGATACAAAATTCCTCATCAAAATAGCAGAAAATTTGAATTTAACAATGCAAGGATGGTTAGATTATCTGCAAAAAAAATCAGTGTGATGCACTGCATTAACAAAATGAAGGATAAAAATCTTAAGATCTCAACAGATGCAGAAAAAACATTTGAAAAAATTCAACATCTGGTAAGACCAAGGACACTCTTGCCACTTTTATTCAACATAATCCTGGAAATCCTACCCAGAGCAATTAGGAAAAAGAAAGATAAGGGGTACTTGGGTGGCTCCGTCAGTTAAGCATCTGACTCTTAATTTTGGCTCAGGTCATGATCTCAGGGTTGTGAGATCAAGCCTCATGTCAGGCTCTGTGCTGGGCAAGGAGCCTGCTTAGGATTCTTTCTCTCCCTTTCTGCCCTTCCCACTCCCTCTTAAAAAAAAAAAAGTATTCAAATTGGAAAGAAGCTGTCTCTGTTTGCAAATGACATGATATTATATATAGAAAACACTAAAAACTCCATAAAAATGGTTAGAATAAATGAATTCAATAAAATTGTAGGATACAAATTAATATACTATCCAAAGCAATCTACAGATTCACTTTAATCCCCATTGGAATCCAAACTCCAATGGCATTTTTCAAAGAAATAGAACAATCCTAAAATCTGTATGGAACCAGAAAAGACCCCATCTATCTATAGTAATTTTAAGAAAAAAGAAGAAAGCTGGAGGCATCACATTTCTTCATTTCATTCTATATTACAAAGCTATAGTAATAAAAAAAGAGTATGGTACTGACATAGAAATGGAAACACAGATCAACAGAACAGTCCAGGAAAGAGCTCATGCATATATAGCAAGTTAATTTGTGACAAAGGAGCCAAGAATACACAATGGGAAAAGGATAGTATCAGTATAAATAGTGCTGGGAAAACTAATAGATGCAGAAAGGATGAGACTGTATCACTGTCTTATACTGAACACAAAAATCAACTCCTAATGGACGAAAGATTTAAATTTAAGTTCTGAAAGCATAAATCTCCTAGAAGAAAAAATAGGGGTTACACTACTTGACATCAAGTCTGGCAATAGTTTTTTGGATTTGACACAAAAGCAAAGGTAATGAAAGCAAATATAAACAAATGGGACTTTATCCAATTAAAAAGCTTCTGCACAGCAGTGTAAACTATCAATAAAATGAAAAGGCAAAAAAATAAAATAAAATAAATAAAATGAAAAGGCAACCTACAGAATAGGAGAAAATCTCTGCAAATCATATATTTGATAAGGGGTGAATATCTGAAATCTATAAAAAATTCATACAACTCAAAAGCCAAACAATCCAATTAAAAATCGGCAGAGGAACTGAACAGATACTTTTCCAAGACATACAGATGGGCAACAAGTACGTGAAAAGGTGCTCAACATCACTCATTATCAGGGAAATGCAAATCAAAACCACAATAAGATATTACCTCACCTCTGTCAGAATGGCTAGTATTAAAACAACAGAAAACAAAAAACCCATCAAAACCCAGAGATAACAAGCGTTGATGTGGGTGTGGAGACAAGGGAATCCCTCCGCACTGTTTGTTGGAATGTAAATTAGGATAGCCACTGTGGAAAACAGTATGGAGGTTCCACAAAAAATTAAAGTTAGAACTACAAATATGATCCTACTACACCAATTTTGTGTATATACACAAAGGGAAATAATACAGGATATCAAAAAGATAGATACACTCCCAAGTTCATTCACAGAACCCTTTAGTCAAGATAGGCAAACAACCAGTGTTCATCAAAAGATGAATGGATAAAGATATAGTGTGTACATAAACACAATGAAATATTATTCAGCCATGAGAAAGAAGGACATTTTGCCATTTGTAACAACATGGATGGACCTTGAGGGCATTATGCTAAATAAAACAAAATAGAGAAAGACAAATAGTTCATGGTTATCACTGATACGTGGAATCTTAAAAAAAAGAATCAAACTCAGGAACAGCAGGTAGGAAAGGGGTTGCTGGGTGGTGGGGGAAATAGTAAGAGGTTAGTATAAAACAGTACAACCTTTTAGCTAAAAGACGAATAAGGTCTGAGGATCTAAAGTACAACATGGTGACTATAGTTGGTAATACTGTATTGTATTTGTGAAATTTGTTAAGAAAATAGGACTTAGGGATCCCTGGGTGGCGCAGCGGTTTGGCGCCTGCCTTTGGCCCAGGGCGCGATCCTGGAGACCCGGGATCGAATCCCACATCGGGCTCCCGGTGCATGGAGCCTGCTTCTCCCTCTGCCTGTGTCTCTGCCTCTCTCTCTCTCTCTGTGACTATCATAAATAAATAAAAATTAAAAAAAAAGAAATCTTATTAAAAAAAAAAAAGAAAATAGGACTTAAATATTCTTACAAAAAAAAAAGAAATCTAAAAAATTAGAAGTTTGTGTTTGAACATTTATAAATTATTTCTCCTGTGGTAATATGATATACATCATATTCATAATTCCCACATCCAATGTCTTCTTAATAAAATGTTTTTTTATTAAAACTGGTCAACATTTGGTCATATTTTCCTCTATAAACTACAAGGACAGGGAAAATAAGTCATAAATGTACTTTTTCACTGATGTGTTTTATGTACTTTTATATGTTAACTTACTTTAATAAGTAATGCTTCATTTGTAGCTTCAATTACTTCATTCCTGTCTTGGACTTGCTGATGCAAATTGCTTACGGTGTCCTGAGCTTCTTCTAATTCCAGTTTTGCCTTCTCTAACTGTTCATTTAGTTGCTGAACAGAAGTCTTTTGAGAATCAGCAGAAATCTTCCACTTTGCATGGTTCTCTTGATGTGAAATCATCTATACAGCCCCAAAATTGACAAAGAAAAAAAACTGAGTGGAGTTGGTTTCAAAAACATTCTAATACTTTTCACTTCTATTTATACTAAAGTAAGTTTTTTTTTTTAAGATTTATTTATTCATGAGAGACACAGAAAGAGAGGCAGAGACACAGGCAGAGAGAGAAGCAGGCTCCCTGTGGGGAGCTGGATGCGGGACTCGATCCCAGGACTCTGGGATCACAATGTGAGCCAAAGGCAGACGCTCAACTACTGAGCCACCCAGGTGCCTCTATACTAAAGTAAATTCTGTTTATAGGTATAGACATCTGACGTCTCAACAAATAACCAATTAGAGGATAAAAAGGGAAGAAGAAACCAATAGTCTTAAATTTACCGAATAACAGTTAACCAAATATAATGGGCTGTTTTTTGATCCTGATTTGAACCACTTAATTGTACAGATATTTTTGTGACATTTGGGAATATGCGAACAAATAATGGGTATTTGATAATATTAAGGAATTACTGTCAAATTTTAAGTGTAATAATAATGTGGTTATGTTTTTTAAAAATAGCCCTTATCTTTTAGAGATACTTATTGAACTGTTTACTGATAAAATAATAATGTCTGGGATTTGCTTCAAAATAGAATGAGGGCACCTGGGTGGCTCAGTTGGTTAAGTGTCTGCCTTTGGCTCAGGTCATGATCTCTGGGTCCTGGGATCAACTCCCACATCAAGCTCCCTGCTCAGCGGAGAGTCTGTTTCTCCCTCTGCCCCTCCCCCTGCTGTGTTCTCTCTTTATCTCTCTCAAATAAATAAAATCTTTAAAGAAACCCCACACAAAATAGAATGAGGTATGTGGGGGAAGGGAAGTGAGTGAGGTTAAAGATAAGGTGATCATACTTCCCAGTTTGCTTAAGATGGATCAGGTTTTATGCCTTTATGCCTGGTGTTCTGGTGTAGTTACAAACAGCCCTCCTTTTTCATTCTCAAAAGTATTCTCTTTTAAAAAGAAACAGTCAACATACTTATAGTGAAATCACATTAGTTGATAATTACTAAAGTTGAATAATATAGGAGGATTTATACCATTCTTTCAAAATTTTCCATAATGAAAACTTAAAAAAATCTAATTCTTATTAAAAATATCAATGGTTTTGCAATTACTATTAAGTTATTTTTCTGACAATTCTGAAACCTGTAATTTTTAAAATGCTGTTAAAAATTATTGAACATTTTTTACTAACTCTGTTGCTTTAATGCTATATTCCTTCATTTTTATATTCAAACATATATGCTTTAAAAATAAATTTTTGTCAAGCACCAAAGAGGATAAAAGCATTACAAATTTTTATATCATACGTATATAAGACATTTGTAACAAATATTAAACAGCAGTAGTAAAACCTATTTTTACAATTCATTTCATGTACTACCTGCTTATGAATCATTTCAGAGGGCTTATAAAACTTAAAGTAAAAAATTGAGTCAGAACAGAGTCTACATAATAAAACTCCAAAGAATACTTGCTGGTAAACACTTGAGCTGGACTAGTTATTACTGATGGTCACTTGATTGAGTAGCTAATATTTATTAAATAATTATGTTGAATCCAATAGCATTCCACTTGTCTCTAAAGACCAAGGATTGAAATCGCTTAGCCTACTATTTGAATTCAGCTTGCAAATGTGTTTTATTTGGCAGACACAACATTTTCAAAGATATCTGAATCTAAATGCATTTAAGCAAGACAAGGTGGACTACAAGCCCTACCAATCCCTCACAAAGATAGTCCCAAACTCCTTTGAAAGGAGTTCAATATAAATGTATTTGTATTCCTTGAAACAGAGAAAAATGCTTTATTAGAACTCCGTAAGTAATTGATTTAGGTTTAATACATACATTTTGGATATCTTTAAATGTAGTTTTTAAAAAAAGACAAGAAATGCTATTCTAATTGCTAACACTGCTCATTTCTATAAAGGCTCAGGACATATTAGTAGATAAAAAGCACCAAGTTCTAATATTGCCTATCTAATTCACTATCAGAACAAATGTTGGAAATTGCAAAGCATTATAGATTCATGTCACATGAAACTGCTTATGCTGTTTACTGAGTATCTCCAGTTTTGTCAGGTGCTATTTTATAACTGATGATGGTGATGGATGATGATGATGAGCCAGCCTCTTGTCTAAGAACTTTAACTCTATTCATTTAATCCTCAACACAGTTCTATGAGGTACATATGATTATTACACCCATTTTAGAGATGTTAATTGTTCAAGGTCACATAAGTGCTAAATGATAAGGTGAAATTTAGACTGCCTGCCTCAAGAATTTAAGCTCTTAACCCTACAGTATATTATCTCACTGGGTATGAAGTGAAAGTTATATTAAGCTACCAGAAATGAGGACCACAATGAGTTATTCTATAATGAACATTTAGAAGCTAGATTTATACTTTTGTCCAGATAGGTCAATCCTCTTTAGCAGGGAATACTAGAACAAATTACATCTTTCTTTACCTCCAGATGATAAGCTTCTTTGAGAGATTCTACTTCTGCTGACAATTTCTTGATTTCTGCTTGCATTCTTGCTTCTAAATGAGCTTCACGTACTTGAGAAGCCCCCAACTCTTCAGCTAAATGGTGTCCATGAGCTTCCTTAAAAATAACATATTAAGGAAAGGTTATTTATTTGGTTACTATAGCTAAACCAATCATGTGCATTTATGGAAGTACTTTAATCTTTTATAATACTATATAAGCACTCATACACAAAGTTAACTTATTAAATGATGTACTTTAAAATCTAGACATTGAAAAAACTATGAATGGGATTGTATTGTAATAGTATATTGTTTATAAAATAATGGAAGCTCACTAACCAATGCATTCTGTAAAACACATGAATAACCAAAGCACGTTGAACTTTGGCAGGTAAATCTACTCTAAGGTTTCGCTGGGCATTTTGTTCACCAGATGCACTGTTTGCTTATCAAGGGTCAGTTGTGGGGCATCTGGGTGGCTCAGTTAAGCATCTGCCTTTCACTTGGGTTGTGATCAGTGAGGAGTCAGCTTCTCCCCACTGGTGTGCTCTCTCCCAAATAAAAAAAGTATTTTTAAAAAGTCAGTTGTGTATTTACCCAAACCTATTTATACTAGTTGTGCTTGTGATTGTAAGTATGCAATTCTAATATACATTATGTATGAACATTGAGGAAATACACATGTAAAAAAGAAAGTTTTTATATGAAAAGAAAGTTATATGCTTTGAAGCAGCTCAATGAATGAGTCATAAACATTTTTTACCCAATTAAAGCAGTGAAAATAGTTGTAAAATACTGTGAGAAAACCCATGTAAAACAAAAGACGTTATATTCTGATTGATTTACAAATGTCTTTTTAATCCTCCTTTTACTTTATTTATTTATTTTTTAAATTTTCTCTTTTTTTTAAATTTTATTATTTATGACAGTCACAGCGAGAGAGAGAGAGGTAGACACAGGCAGAGGGAGAAGCAGGCTCCATGCATCGGGAGCCCGACGTGGGACTCGATCCCGGGTCGCCAGGATCGCGCCCTGGGCCAAAGGCAGGCGCCAAACCGCTACGCCACCCAGGGATCCCCCTCCTTTTACTTTAAAATGAAAATTGGAAACAACAGACGATGGAATAGGAGTATGGAATGCAAAAAGTGGGTGGAATTCTAATCAAAGGCCCTACCCATACACACAAAAAATAAGGTTTAGTCCTAAATTAAAAGATTTACATATGAACATATACTCTGAGTTTTGAGTTGAAATATTTTATCTTAAACTGTCCTTTTAACAGATCAAAACTACAATGAAATATCACCTCAAAATGGACAAAAACAACAACACAAAAAACAGGTGTTGGCAAGGATGCAAAGAAAGGGGAACCTTCTTACACTGTCAGTTGGAATGCAAACTGATGCAGCTACTCTGGAAAACAGTATGGAGGTTCCTCAAAAAGGTCAAAATAGAACTACCATAGTATCTAGCAATGCATTACTAGGCATTTATCTATCCAAAGGATACAAAAACACTGATTTGAAGGGATACGTGCACCCTGATATTTATAGGATCAACAATAGCTAAATTATGGAAAAAGCCCAAATATCCATCAATTGATGAATGGATAAAGAAGAGGTGGTATAGGGTCACCTGGGTGGCTCAGTGGTTGAGCGTCTGCCTTTGGCTCAGGTTGTGATCCCGGAGTCCTGGGATCAAGTCCTGCATCAGGGTCCCAAGAGGGAGACTGCTTCTCCCTCTGCCTATGTCTCTGTCTGTGTTTCTCACGAATAAATAAATAAGATCGTTAAAAAAAAAAAAAAGAAGAAGAAGAGGTGGTATACACACACACACACACACACACACACACACACACAATGGAATGTTACTCAGCCATACAAAAAAGAATGAAATCTTGCCATTTGTAATGACATGGATAGAGCTAGAGAGAATTATGCTAAGTGAAGTAAATCAGAGAAAGACAAAATACCATATGATTTCACACATATGTGGAATTTAAGAAACAAAATAAACATTCAGGGATGAGGGAGAAGAGAGGCAAATCAAGAAACAGACTCTTAACTATAGAGAGCTGATGGTCACAAGAGGGGAGGTAGATAGGAGGAAGGGTTAAACAGGTGATGGAGATTAAGGAGGGCACTTGTGATGAGCACCGGATGTTGTATGTAAGTGCTGAGCACCAGATGTTGTATGTAAGTGCTGAATCACTAAATTCTACACCTGAAACTAGTTTGAATTTAAATAAAACTTGAAAAAAAATAAACTCACTTTAAATAAGTCCCTACTTTCACTCACTTTTTGATTAATTAAGCTTACCTTATCCACATAAAATCAATTGTACTATACTTAGATACTACTGATAAGGACAGAGACGAAAGTAGATAGCTTCTCAGGAGCTTTTCCTAGGAGACTTCCAAATGCCTAATATATTCTAATAAAAATTCCTTATATATTCCTTATTAGTCTAACTAATCAGAAATGTGAATAAAAAGCATTAAGTTTACCAAATTTAATGTAAAGTTACTTTAACACATTCTTATACTATATCAGTAACCATAATAAAAAGCAGAAATCCACAGGCACTTTCCTGAAACACCAATAAATACATTTTTCTCAAAGTCTAGGTAATTAACTTAACCATATCAATCCAAGCATTTTTTAAGCAGAGTTGTTAATCTTCTAACAAATACTGAGGGAAAATAATTTATATTATTGTTCTTGCAAAAGAGAAATAAAAGCAATTTCTCTTCCTAAGGGTTCTGGACTACAGGCTTCATAACAGCTATAACTTTATTTTTTATTTTTTTTATTTTTTTTTAATTTTTATTTATTTATGATAGTCACAGAGAGAGAAAGAGAGAGAGAGGCAGAGACACAGGCAGAGGGAGAAGCAGGCTCCATGCACCCGGGAGCCCGATGTGGGATTCGATCCCGGGTCTCCAGGATCGCGCCCTGGGCCAAAGGCAGGCGCCAAACCGCTGCGCCACCCAGGGATCCCAACAGCTATAACTTTAGATTGTCAGTTTCACTTATAACAGTAGCTACAAATGTAAAAATTTTACTCAAAAAAGATTAACTTTTGGGGATCCATGGGTGGCTCAACTGTTTGGCACCTGCCTTTGGCCCAGGGTGCGATCCTGGAGACCTGGGATCGAATCCCACATTGGGCTCTCGGGTGCATGGAGCCTGCTTCTCCCTCTGCCTGTGTCTCTGCCTCTCTCTCTCTCTCTCTCTCTCTCTCTCTCTCTGTGACTATCATAAAAAAAAAAGATTAACTTTTTTTCCCTCAAATGATAGGTTAAATTCATTTCAAAGTCTAAAAGTACTTTATAATGCAATTTACTGAAGACTAATTAGTTTGGCTAAAGCTCATTTCTGCAGGATTTCCTAGTTGTAATATTAAGCTATGCTAAATATAACATTTTTCTTCTTAAAATTTCAATAAAATATCTGTAACATAAAGTTTACCACTTTAACCAGTTTTAAGTGTAAATTCAGTAGCATTAAATAAATTTAGTGTAACACAGTTAATACAATCTACAATTTAAAACGTAAATGCTAAAATTTTAAAGATTTTTAGTAAGGTAAAATTATTTAGAAGAGGGATTACTTTTTCTTTAGAGAGTTGCTTTATTTCCTCCAGTTCACTAGAGAGCCTTTCTATTTCTCTCTGTGCTTGAACTTGTTGACAACGAGCTTCCATCAGTTCTGTATGAGAGTTCTGCATCTGCTCCCGAGTCAGCCTCAATTCTTGATCCATATCTATGGCTTCCTTGTACTGAGTTGCAATGTACTGTTCCTGTTCTTTCATAACCTGAGATACACAAAATATTTGTAGGTTTCAAAATTAAATAATATAGATAGCTTGTTTCTTATTCTGATTTCTCTTTTAATAAGTGATTTCCCCCATCCCAACTCGATCTCTATAAAATTGAACATACAATGCATATCATCCACACTGTGAAACTGATACTTAGAAAATGCTTTTTTCCTTTTTAATGATAAGAAAATGTACTATAATAAATCTGGGACTGATATATTTTGCATGACTAATATGCAAGTTGTATAATCCTTTATCATTGTGAATATAATATGGCAGAAAGCATAATAATATAAAGAGAAAAAAGAAGCTAATATCTGATTATCCATTTTACAAATAGAGAATGTATGGCATGAATACCTGAAACTAACCATTAATCCACATATTTGTGTTAAGGTCATGACCTTATTCTCTGTAAAAGTAAAATTTGTCACTGGGACTGCTACTCCTTCCTAAACACTTCCACATTTCTAAGCTAAATCCCTAGTATTATCTTCTTAGAGGAAAAAAAAATCAGTGAAAAGTTAATTCTAAATCAGCTTAGTGAGGGAGATTAGAAGGTAGGTAATGACACTTGACTTTAGGGCTCATAAGAAGGAAAGAAATGAGTACAAATCATTAGGATCCTGATGTATGGAATGGAACCTTGGGTCTAACTGTATTACATATCAATATAAATTTCATGTAACTATTTTTAGCCAGCCTTTGTTAAGGAACATGAAATGATTGGGCCAATAATCATTTTGTGTTCCCTGGGGTCCAAACTTGTTCTCACAGATCCTGCTTAATTTGTGTATATAATTCAACAAATATTGGGACGCCTGGGTGGCTCAGTGGTTGAGAGTCTGCCTTTGGCTCAGGGTATGATCCCAGGTCCGGGGATCGAGTGCCACATTGGGCTCCCTGCGAGGAGCCTGCTTCTCCCTCTGCCTATATCTCTGCCTCTCTTTCTGTGTCTCTTGTGAATAAATAAAATCTTTTAAAAAAAGAATTTAACAAATATTTATTCATGCTTACTATGTGATATGTGCTGTTTTAGGTACTGAGGACTTATAAGTGAAAAGAGACAAAATGGCTAACCTTATGGATTCTACATTCTACTGGAGCAATCAGATAATCAAACACAATAAAGAGCTTACATGAAGTTTTAAAGTTGAGTACAGTATTTAAAAACAAAAAGAAATTACATCTATGAGAGCTCTTAGAAGCAAATTCACTTTTTAAAAAGGCAAGTGGGGGCAGCCCGGGTGGCTCAGTGGTTTAGTGCTGCTTTCAGCCTGGGTTGTGATCCTGGAGACCCAGGATCGAGTCCCACATCAGGCTCCCTATGGGGAGCCTGCTTCTCCCTCTGCCTGTGTCTCTGCCTCTCTCTCTCATGCTCTGTGTCTCTCATGAATAAATAAATAAATAAATAAATAATATTAAAAAAAATAAAAATAAAAAGGCAAGTCGGTAGAATGGGTTCACCAGTCAACACACAGACAAACTGATGATACGAAGTCATCAAACTTCGTATGTACAATTGTCATCTGTTCATTCATTCTCTGGATGGAGTTCCTCAAGGACAAATGAGTATATCTTATCAATATCTGTATCTCCAGCTCTATCACACAGTAGGTTCTCAATAAATATTTGTTGACCAAGTGAGCACATATTGTGCATTTACTATGTGAGAGATATTATGCCGATGCCTGCAGGCAATATAAAGAGAAGTACGATGATGCCCTTGCCTATGACTGGAACATCAGAGTAAAATACTTAAAAAGATCAAAGAAACTAATAATTATCTGACACAAATAATTAGCCTAAAAATATTTATGGCACAGTTTCTATATATTGAAACCAACTGGTTTAAAACATAAAGATTTATATCCCTTTTTATATAATTTTACTTTGTTCCTTAGGCAGAAAATAATTTGCTTACACTTTCCATTTCTTTCATCTTTTGTTGTGTTCGTTCATTTTCCTTTCTCAGTTGGCTTATCTCCTGTTCATTTTGTAGTGTTACAAATTCTTTTTCTCGAAGCTGTTCTTTGGAATTTTGCAATTTTTCATTCAAACTTTCTATCTGAAATTTAAACAGAGCAATATTAATGTAGCTAAGGAAAAATTCTCTTTTTTTTAAAAGATTTTATTTATTTATTCATGAGAGACACAGACAGAGGGAGAAGCAGGCCCATGCAGGGAGCCCAACATGGGACTCGATCTTGGGTCTCCAGGATCACACCCTGGGCCAAAGGTGGTGCTAAACCGCTGAGCCACCAGGGCTGCCCGGAAAAACTCTTTAGTCATAACTGCAGTCCAAGTAAGTCAAGTGTCAAATACATATATATCAAGTAGTAAAATATAAAAATGTGTTTTTAAGACCACCATAACTTAGACATTAACATCAGAATTCTTGTATACCTACAATATACCAAAAGAAATGAAAGTCTCAATCACATTTGTATAATTTCCCCAAAGGAAAATTGGGGTCAAGAAAACAAATGTTACATGGCCTTACAAGTTGTTTTATAGGTAATATGTGCAAGAGGAGACAAATACAGTTAGTGAAAACAAAGTTCCCTTTCCATTGTGTTCTTTCCTTAGTGGCAACCGCATTAGTTAAGAGAATTAGAAATCCTTCCAGAGATATTTTATACATATTCAAACATGTACATATGATGGTAAATAGGTAGACACACTGAGACAAGAAAAACTACATTTAAAATAACATTAAGAGGGTAATCACCAGGGGCTGAGGAGTGAGGAAAATGAGGAAATGTTGGTCAAGGTATGTAAGGTTTCAGTTGAAAAAGGTAAGTAAATTCTGGAAATTTAATGTATGGCACATGACTATAGTTAGTAATAAATATATGATTGAAATTTGCTAAGAAAATAGATCTTAAGCATCCTCAGCAAAAATAAATAATTAAAACAATTGAGGTGGATATGTTAATTAGCTTGATTGTGATAATTATTTCAGTGTATATCAAAATATTGTACACCTCAAATATACGCAATTTCTGTCATTATAGGTCAATAAAACTGGGGAAAAAGTTAAGAGAAAAATGAATTTAAAGTAGCATGCACAAGATGATTAAAATTATGTAGTATTTTTATTGTATGTATTTTATAAAAAAGCCACATTATGTGAATGTCATTTTAAAAATAACAAATTTTTAAATGTTGTTTTTAAAAACAATATAAAACATGTAATTTAAAATAATTTACCTGTTTGCTGCATTCTTTAAGTTCCAATTCTGATTTCTCCAGAGTACCTTCTAATTTAATTATTTTCTGTTCCATTTCTCCCCTGTGCTCACGAATAGTCATATCCAAATGTGTAACCTCAATACAAAAGTAACATTAAACTATTACTCAACTTTATTGTAACATAAAAAATTGCATGCTTGGGTGTTTTAAAATTGTTTACAGTAGATAATACTGAAACATAAACTCACCTCAAATTATTTTAAAAAGTCAGAAAAATATTAATTGCTTATTAATACTAAATCTTAAGCCTTGTATTATAGAATCTTAAAGCTACAACTATGTTCATAAATGACAAATAAATGATTTCTCATTTTATGCTAGATAAAAGCTGCTAAATACAATGTAGCATAGCAAAAATTGTGGAATGTAGCAAAAGCAGTGTTTGGAGGAAAATGTACAGCATTAAATGCATATATTAGAAAAGAAGAAAAGATCTGAAATCAATCATTTAAGCTTCCACTTTCGGAAGCTAGAAAAAGAAGATGAAATTAAATCTAAAGTAAACAAAAAAGAAAAAAATAAAACAGCACAAATCAGTTAAACTAAAATTAGGAAATAAAGAGAGAAAATCAACAAAACCCAAAAGCTGATTCTTGAAAAGATCAATAAAATCAATATGCCCCTAACTAGGCTAAGAAAAACGGAGTGGACATGAATTAGTAATCAGAAATGAAAGAGAAGATATTAATAAAACTCTCAAAGACATTAAAAGGATAAGGAATACTGTAACAACTTTCTGATTACAAATTTAATAAAATTAGATGAAATACACGAATTACTTGAAAGACAGAATCTGCCAAAACTCATCCAAGAAAAGACAACCTAAATAAGCTTATATTTATTAAAGAAATTAAATTAATGATTTTAATTAATTAAATTCCCAAATAGATTTTAATTAATTCCCAAATAGAAAGCAGCAGGTCCAAATGGCTTCACTGAGAGAAATTATACCAATTCTCTACAATCCAATTCAGAAGACAAAAGCAGAGGAAATACTTTCTAATTCATTCTATGAGGCCAGTACTATCCTAATACCCAAACCAAAGACATTTCAACACCCATTCACGATAAAAACTCTCAGTAGACGAGGAATAGAGTGGAACTTCTTCAACTCTATAAAGAATATCTACAGAAAAACAACAGGTAGTTTCATACTTAATGGTGAGAAACTCAAAGCATTCCCACTAAGATCAGATACAAGGCAAGGATATTCTTTCTCACTATTGTTTTTCAACACTGTCCTAGCAGTCCTAGCTACTGCAGTAGGACAAGTAAAAGAAATAAAAGATATACGTATTAGGAAGGAATACAAAACTATGTTTACAGATGACATAATCATCTAGGGAGAAAATCCAAAAAATTTGCCAAAATAATTCCTAGAGTTAGTAAGTGATTATAGCAGGGTTGTAAGATACAAGGAATACACATAAGTCACTTTCCTGTGTACCAGCAATGAACAAGAATTTGAAATTAAAAACATAATATGACTTACATTAGCACCTCCCCCAAAAAAATACTTAGTTATAACTCTAACCAAATATATATAAGATCTATAAAGAGAAACTATAAAACTCCAGTGAAAGAAATCAAAGAAAACAAATAGAGAGTCCATGTTCATGGAAGACTCAGGAAGACTCAGGATCATCAAGATTCAAGATGTCAGTTCTTCCTAACTAAATCTATACATTCAAGGCAATTCCAATCAAAATTCCAGCAAGTTAATTTGTGGATATTGACAAACTGATTCTGAAGCTTACATGGAGAGTAAAACATCCAGAATATCCAACATGATACTAAAGAATTACAAAGTTGGAAACGTGACATTATCTGACTTCAAGACACTAAACAGCTACAGTAAACAGACTGTGGTACTGGCAAAAACAAAAAAAAAAAAACAAAAAAAAACAAAAACAAAAAAAAAAAACAAAGCCCAAACCAAAACAGGTGAATAAATAATTGTACAGAATAGAATCTAGAGACTATGTTAACTAACCTTTGACAGAGGAGCAAAGGCAATACAATGGAGAAAAAAGTCTTTTCAACAAATGGTTGAAAAATTAACTCAAAGTGGATCCTAGACCTAGATATAGCTTGCAAAACTATAAAACTTCTAGAAGATAACAGAGGAATATCTTGGATGACCATGGGTGGACTCTTTAGATAGAAAGCCAAAGGTACAATTCACGAAAGGAATTGCTGGACATCATTAAAATTAAAAACTTCTGCTCTGTAAAAGCTAGTGTCAAAAGACTATGAATAAAAGCCACAAACTGGAAGAAAATATTTGTAAAAAACACCTCTGAAAAAGCACTTGTATCCAAAATATACAAAGAACTCTTAAAATCCAACAATAAGAAAACAACTCAATTAAAAAATGAGCCAAACACTGTAACACACCTCACCAAAGATATGCAGATAGAAAAATAAGCACAGGAAAATACCCCCTATGTCATATGTTATCTGAGAAGTGCAAATTAACAAGGAGATACCACTATACCCCTATTAGAACGGCCAAAATCCAAAACATTCACAACATCAAATACTACCCAGAACGTGGAGCAACAGGAATTCAAATTCATTGCCGGTAAGAATGCAAAAATGGTACAAGCCACTTGGGAACACAATTTGGAAGTGTTTTTAAAAACTAAACATAATCTTACCATATGATCCAGCAACCTTGGCCCTTGGTAATTAAAAGGAGTTGAACACTTATATCTACACAAAAACCTGTACACAGATGTTGACAGCAGCTTTATTTATAATTGTCAAACTTAGAAGCAACCAAGATGTCCTTCAGTAGGTCAGTAAACTGTAGTACACCTAGACAATGGAATATTATTCAGTGCTAAAAGAAATAAGGTATCAAGCAATGAAAAGATGTAGAGAAAACTTAAATGAATATTACTGAGATAACTCAATATGAAAAGACTATGTACTATATGATTTCAACTATATGACATTCTGGAAAAGGGAAAATGAGACAATAAAAAAATCAGTGGTTATTAGGATTGGGGAAGAGGAAGAAGGATGACTAGGTGGAGCATTGTGGATTTTTAGGGCAGTGAAAATACCCTGGATGATACCATAATGATGGATACATGTCATTAAACATTTGTCCAAACTCAGAGAATGTACACACCAAGAGTGAACTGTAATGTAAATTATGGGGTTTGGGTGATTATGTGTGTGCTCATCAACTATTAACATATGTACCACTCAGGTGGGGAATGTTGATAATTGGGAAGGCTGGGTGTTTATGGCAACAAGGAGTATATGGGAAATCTCTGTACCTTCTGCTCTATGTCACTGTGAACCTAAAATTGGTCTAAGAAATAAAGACTTTAAAAAAGATGCTGCTAAATAATGCCTTTTGAATATTTTTGTTCCTCCAACAAACACACTATTTAAAGGAGTTAGAGTAACTCTTCTAATCCCATTGTCTCCTGATATGCAGTAATGTAAGAGATCAAAAGGTTCAAACACTAATAAGCTAACTTTCATTCTCAAAAATCCACTTGCTATAAAAATAGCAAGATGAAGATATATTTCTAATTTTTAAAATATTAATGTGCGGGATCCCTGGGTGGCTCAGTGGTTAGTGCCTGCCTTTGGCCCAGGGCGTGATCCTGGAGTCCCGGGATCAAGTTCCATGTCGGGCTCCTGGCATGGAGCCTGCTTCTCCCTTCTCCTGTGTCTCTGCCTCTCTCTCTCTGTGTCTATCATAAATAAATAAATAAATAAATAAATAAATAAATAAATAAATAAATAAATAAATAATAAATCTTTAAAAAATATATTAATGTGCACAGAAAAACATATATGCTTTAAAAATGTCCATTTTGCCAAAAAGTGGTGACCTCTGAAACCCTGTGTGACTGCACTGTAACAGAAAATTTCATTAAATTATAAGTAAGAAAACTAACTTGAGCTGCTCTTTGCTTTAGTTCCCAATTTCTCTCCTTAAGTGCCTGATCCATTTCAAGGAGTTCTTGCTTCTTATCTTCATTCTCCATTTTGCATTCTCTGTAATTCACCAAAAGAAAAAGAACAAAGGAAATAGTAGGAATATTACGTTTTTTAAAAATTAAGTCAATTGGGTTACCTTCCTTTAAGTAATAAGACATATGCAATTATTTCTGGTTGAAAGGGCTCAAATTAAAGAAATAATGTATAAAGAAAATGATTGATATTAATACAGTTACTTTAATAGAGAATTCTCAAAAGGCAAAAGTTAACTCTAACACTACTACTATAGACAATTTAAGCTAAATGTTAAAGCATTCCCAAGGTATAAGGCTGAATTAGTGTAAGAGTTTTTAAAATATGTCCAAATTTTTCATTTACAGGTCAAGGAAGCATTTGAAAGTCTTTTCTGTATCATCGTTGTAAGTTTATTGCAAATGAATGAGGCATTTATCTCATGGTTGGTATCTCTGATATCCATAGCTCAGTAAATGACCACTCTGTTTCTCAGGGGAATTTCACTCAAATGACACCTTACATATAGTGAAGTATTGGAGTCTAATACAGAAATTTTTTAAATAAATTCTAGCTCTCCTAAATCCTTTATTTATAATTTTATACTATAAAAATGCTTAATACTGACACAACTTTATGACTACTACCACGCAGATCAGAAAATGCAATAAAAGAATTTTAATTTGGAACTCTATGTTCTGATACGACAAAGGCTAAAAATGTTGTTGGGACACCTGGGTGGCTCAGCAGTTGAGCATCTGCCTTCAGCTCAGGGAATGATCCTAGAGTCCTGGGACTGAGTCCCATATCGGGCTCCTTGCACGGAGCCAGCTTCTCCTGTCTCTGCCTCTCTCTCTGCCTCTCTCTGTGTCTCTCATGAATAAGTAAATAAAATATTTAAAAAGATAAAAAATAAATAAAAATGTTGACCTTTAAAATCTTCATGTGGTTTTCCAGTCTTAAATATGAACAATACTGAACAAAGGTACTGGTTTTAAAAAGCAGATTCTGAAATTCTTTTATAAACTATTTACTATTCTCTTAGGAGTCTTAACAATTAGGGGCGCTTGGGTGGCTAAGTCAGTTGAGTGACCAACTCTTGATTTCAGCTCAGGTCATGATCTCTGGGTCATGGGATCAAGCCCCACATCAGGCTCTATAATCAGCGCAGAGTCTGTCCCTTTCCCTCTGCTCCTTCCCTCACTCACATGCTGCTCTTCTCTCTCTCTCTCTCTCTCTCTCTCTCTCAAATCAATCAGTCAAATCTTTTTAAAAAGATGATTCTTTTTTTAAAAATCTTTTTTTAAAGATTCCTTTCTAAAAAATCTTTTTTAAAAAGATTCTTTTTTAAAAAATCTTTTTAAAAGGCTTTTTTAAAAATCTTTTTTTTAAAAAGGTTCTTTTTCAAAAAATCTTTTAAAAAAATATTTTCAGCACTTATAAAAAGATCTCAGCAGTTGGGACGCCTGGGTGGTTTAGTGGCTAAGTGTCTGTCTTCGGCTCAGGTCACAATCTTGGGGTCCTGGGATGGAGTCCCACATTGGTCTCTCCTCAGGGAGCTTGCTTCTCCCACTGCCTATGTCTCTGCCTCTCTGTGTCTCTCATGAATAAACAAAATCTTAAAAAAAGATCTCAGCAGTTATAAAATACAAGGCTACACTAATAAGTTATTATTAAATGAATTCTAAAGATAATCGTTGTATAAGTGAATAGCTGAGCTTCCAAAAATTCAGCCATTAGCTAGAATTTAAGATTTCATTTTTACTTCTTTCATCCATTCATTCACTTAACCATTTAGCAAATATTTACTGGATGCTTCCTATATATCAGGATTCTATGTACTTTGAATTTAATAGTCAACAAAACAGATGTCCTTCATCACATGGAGCATACATATGAATAGGTCCAGTAAAGAAGACAGACTATAAATAATAAACAAGAAAAATATAAAGTGCTATGTTAGAGCATTAAATACAGTGATGAGATAGTGCCTGGGTAGCTACTTGAGAGTAGGTGGTCAGAAAAGGGCCCTCTGAAGTAACATGAAGGGCAAGAAGTTGGCCATTGAACCATTAATTCAGGCCAAAGAAACAGCTACTGCAAAGTCAAAAGGTAGGAAAAATTTATCAAGTTTTAAGTACCAACAAAAAGGTCAGGAGAAAGGGGAACAGTATGAAATAAGGCCAGAGAAACAGGCAGGAACCCTATCATGTAGGGCTTTATATTCTATGCTAAGGAGCTTGGCTTTTTTTTTTTTTTAATTGTGGTAACATACATACAAGGTTTACCATTTTAACCATTTACCATTTTGATCATTTTAAAAGTGTATATACAATTCAGTTACATTAAGTAAATTCACAATGTTGTGTAACCATCACCACTATTTCCAGTACTTGTTCATCACTCCAAATGAAAATTTCATATCCATCTGCAATTATTTTCCATTGTCCCAGCCTGGTTCCCAGCAACCATTAAGATGCTTTCTATCTTTATGCATTTGCTAATTCTGAATATTTCGCATAAATGGAATTATACACACATATCTGGTTATTTATTTAGCTTAATGTTTTCAAGGTTCATCTATGTTACAGCAGATATTAGTACTTTATTCCTTTTCATGACTGAATAATATTCCCTGTATGTATATATCACATTGTATTTATCAACTACTGATAGATATTTGGGTTGTTTCTGCTTAGTGACTATTGTTAATAGAGCTGCTATGAACATTTGTGCACAATTTTTTTTGAACATCTGTTTTTAACTCTTTTGGGTAAATAACTTATGAGTTACATGGTAATTCTATGTTTAACTTATTGAGGAACTGCCACTTTTCCATAGTCAACTGTATCATTTTAGTTTCTCAACGTCAATGTATGAGGGTTACAATTTCTCTACACACTTGCTAACACTTGTCATTTTCAGTTTTTGGTTTTTTTATTTTTATCATGGTCATCCGAGTGGGTGTGAAGCAGTATCTTATTATAGTTTTGATTTACATTTCCCAAGGAGGTTGGATTTTATTCTGAATATTTTGGGAAGCAATTGGAAGGCTTAAGCAGGGATGAAAATATAATCTAATTTGTTTTAAATAATAAACTTAAATCCATTTCTGTTTTAAATCATAAACTGAAATGGACTGTGGAAAGGGTCAGGAATTTAACTGGAGAGACCATTAGGGAAACCACAGCAACAGGCCAGGTAAGAGATGATGATGGCTTATGCTAAAGTGGTAAGAGAAAAGAGGTCAAGAAATCAACAGATTTCAGAATATGTTTGGAAATAGAGTTCACATGAATTCCTTAAAGACTGGATAAAAAAAAAAAAAAGAGGAAAAGAGATACAACAGATTTCTGGTTTGAGCAATTGCCTGATTCTGAGATGGATGAAGGGTAGAGTTACAAAGAAAAAAAAAGAGTTCTGTTTTGGCCAAGCTTAAGATGCCTCTTAAAAATACGTGAGGAAAAAAAAAAAAAAAAAACTTGAGTGAGGGATGCCTGGGTGGCTCAGCAGTTGAGCATCTGCCTTTGGCTCAGGATGTGATCCTGGGGTTCTAGGATCAAGTCCCACATAGGGCTCCCTGCAGGCACCCTGCTTCTCCTTCTGCCTAGGTCTCTGCCTCTCTCTCTCATGAATAAATAAATAAAATCTTAAAAAGAATACCTGAGCAAAGGTAACAAGTAAATCATTAGATATTTGAGTCTGCAGTTTGGGGAAGAGATCATTACTAGAGATGTGAGTCTGGAAGTCTGACACACAGTATGTATGTATGTATGTATGCATGCATTTTAAAAGATTTTATTTATTTATTTATTCATGAGAGACAAACAGAGAGAGAGAGAGAGGCAGAGACACAGGCAGAGAGAGAAGCAGGCTCCATGCGGTTAGCCCGACGTGGGACTCAATCCCAGGACACCAGGATCATGTCCTGGACTGAAGGCGGCGCTAAACCGCTGAGCCACCTGGGCTGCCCCTGACACACGGTATTTAAAGCTATATGAAATTTACTATGAATGAGTTTGTGGGTAGAAAAGAGATGGGGGTCCTTCACTGAGTCATGGGATGATATCTAAGTTCCTGGGTCTTCTTGCTGCTCTCTCTCCTGTCATCCCACATTTCACATTCTGGTTTGTAATTCTGCTTTCCTTCTCAGAATCTATTTCCTACATCTTAGTTCTGGTCTGGCTCTCTACCCGCACTGACCAAAGATGTGTGCTGGAACAGCATTTTATGTTATCACTGGTAATCTAAGAACCCAGATTTTAGAGTTGGTCAGACTTGTGTTTAACTCCCTTCTCTGGACCTTATTATCTAAGTTTGAGTATTTTACTTAATTTTCTCAAGCCCCAGTTTTCTTTTTTTTTTAAATTTTTATTTATTTATGATAGAGAGAGAGAGAGAGAGAGAGAGAGAGAGAGAGAGAGACACGCAGAGACATAGGCAGAAGCAGGCTCCATGCACCGGGAGCCCGATGTGGGATTCGATCCTGCGTCTCCAGGATCGCGCCCTGGGCCAAAGGCAGGCGCCAAACCGCTGCGCCACCCAGGGATCCCAAGCCCCAGTTTTCTTAAGTGTAAAAAGGTGCTAATATGTATACGATAGGTTTATTGTAAAGAAATGAGTAAGATCATATAGGGAGCCCTGGCATAATCCTGGCACAAAATAAAGGCTTAATATAAAGAAAACATGTTATTATTAATATCATTTTGCTATTAACCACTGCTGTATACTGCCCTAATTATTCTTTACCACTACATAATATAGGAGAGGGTCAGAATAAAATGGTCTAAAGACCAAGGATAGAAATATTAGTCACAAGGAATGGCTGAACTAGTTAGATGGAGTATAAAGACAGGCTGACTGGGATGAACAGTGAGCCAAAGGCAGTTGAGAAATTTAGACATCCAGAATTAAGCAAAAAACTTTACTATATGACCCAAGGAGTCAGAGTAATAAAGTGAAATATCTCTAAAAGTGATATCATTTCTTATTATTTAACGCACCTAAGTTCAGCCGTAAGATCCTTTATAGTAGTGTATTTTTCCTCTAATGATAATTGAGCCTTCTGTAGTACATCTCTCAATTCCTGAAGTTGTCTTAAAGTACTTTTTAATTCTCCATGAGCATTCTGGAGTTCAGATTCTAATGCTTCCCGTTTCTGCAAAGCTTCTGTTAGTTCAGTTTCAGTGTGGTGCTGTAATTTTTCTAATTCCTTCACTGTTGAAAGCAAAGAATAATTTTAGTTTTAAAAACATTTTATTTAAACTCAATGTGCCAGAGAGAATAATTTTAGAACTATATAAAAACCATTTATTAAAAATTTGTAAATAATTATAATTAAGAATATCGAATTCTATTCACCTACAAGAGGCTATAAAATACATATTGTCCTTTCCAGTCCTACTAACTCAAATTCTCACTTTATTCTACTTTTTAAATATAAATAAACAGGCAGCTCAGCTCAGCTAACCTGTTAGCTTACCAGAATTTGTCTTCTTATCTAGTTCTGTCTTTGTCTGTTCTAAGATCATGTCTAACTGAGAGAGATGCATTACTTTATTTTCTCCATCTCGTTTTAGGTACATTATTTCTTTTTCCATTTTAGATAGGTCTTCTTTGTACTGATCCATCTCAAGTTTCACTTGCCTAATTAAAAACAAAAAATAAAACCATAAATGATAATTTGGAAACCTAAAGCCAATTGACTTTTAGTCTCTGACTAAAAAAATCTGCAAATTATATAAGGGCAAATACCAGCAAAACATCATCAGAATCTTGGGTCACCCTTAGGTCCTATTATTAAAAATGCTAAAAGATTCTAATTCTGCGCCAATTATGTACCACTAAATAGTACTGTACTACCTGGTAATATTTAACAAGGTTAGCCTTCTTTTCAATCTAACTACAGTTAGCTTGTATAAAGCTTTGTACACTGAGAACATCCATGGATAGTTGTCTGATTCATCTGGAATTTTTGTTATCTGCCACACAGAAAATAAGTAAGCCAAGCAATCAAAATATTCACCATAATGACCATACTACTTATAGGAGAACCAAGTCAGTTCTTTGTATTCAGACCTTTATTATTTATGTTTTCTTTTTTAGCTTTACAAGGAACTAGAGATTCCCAGACTAGTGCAACTTTCTTGCTTTGCAGATGAGGAAAGTGGAAGGTTCGTTAATTGTCTGGCATAAGACAAAGAAGTTAACAGTGAGAGAATGAGGTTTACTAACTTTCAGTCAGCCCTGAACTTATTCCAACATGGAAGATCCTTTATCTATAGATAAACTAACAGTGAAAGTTTTAAGTTCATTTATTGGTAATTCCAAAGTGATATTCACTAAGTAAATAAGTGTTAATGTCATCCTCAATGGTCGGTAGAATTGATGCTTCCTGAATCAACATTTTTTGTCACTGCTGTTCTTTATGTATTTGATATTTTCTAAATTGAGTTTGCAAGCAGGAACACTGCTTTTATAAATGCAACTTAGACAAATGTGAATTTGTTCAAGAGGTTTTTAATCTGATGTCCATGAGAGAACTTGAGGAAAACTATAAAACTCCTGAAACAATATGCAAAATTATGTATACATATGTTCCATGTATTGAAAATAATCCATAACTCTTTATCATGCCCTCAAATATGTTCACAGTCTAAAAAGGTAAGAAGCTTATTTGATAAATGATAATTACCCTTTTACAGTTCTAAAATTCCAGATAAGTGATTTTTAGCTTGACTAATTCATTTCTTACATTACAGCAGATATAAAACATAATTAGAAAATAATACATGAAAGAGGTTGGCTTACAGTACCAAGAGACGAAAGCTTGTCAGCAAGGAAGTTGGGGGAAAATTATATTAAAAATATACAATATTTGGAAACGGACAGTAATCTACAAACAGTAAAAAACAGTAAAAAACTCCAATGTTTTGTTGAGGTGCTATTATATATCTCAGCATGGTATAATAACTGATGTATTTGTAATGAAAACCCTGAGATGACCAGAAAAATTAAAAATGACAAGAAAATATATATTTTAGAAAATTTCTACCAAAAAGGATATTTTTTTGTTACAATACAGTTTCAGTACTCGATAAATTCCACACTTATCAGCAATTACTCATTCTTTCTTGATACTAGGTGAATGAGGCATTAGTATAATAAATATTTAAGGGTTTAAAAATTTTTAATTATTATATAAATAATCCAATACCAAAGATTTCCCCTTAACTTTCAAAATTTTACAAGAGGCTTTAAACTCGTCAGTTTTACCAGAAATATTTCACCTTCTTATTGCAGGGTTACTGAGAGCAATAAAGTCTGAGATTGGAAATAAAGCCAAAGGAAGGATCATGCAAACATACTAAACTTTTAGATGTGACAGCTGAGACTCTGGCCTCTTCCAATGTAAAAAAAAAAAAAAAAAAAAAAAAAATTACTATGGTAATGGAGGCAGTCTGAGAAATCTAAAAAGTGCTATAGGAGCCTCAGTACTGAGAAGCCAGGATCAGGATCGTTTACATGAAGTGACATTTACATGTAGTACCAGAAGCACCTTGTAGTTGGTTGTTTTAAAGCATATCTAAACTATGCATTTCATAACCTAACTTCTTTGAATTTCACTCTCTTACTTTAAAAATAGGGAAAATAGGGATCCCTGGGTGGCACAGCCGTTTGGCGCCTGCCTTTGGCTCAGGGCGCGATCCTGGAGACCTGGGATCGAATCCCATATCGGGCTCCCGGTGCATGGAGCCTGCTTCTCCCTCTGCCTGTGTCTCTGCCTCTCTCTCTCTCTCTCTCTGCGTGACTATCATAAATAAATAAATTAAAAAAAAATTAAAAAAAAATAGGGAAAATAAATAAATAAATAAATAAATAAATAAATAAATAATAAAACCCATATTGTAGGGCTGTTTTGAAGAATGAGTTAATGTGTCTACCTAGCACATTACCTGGCACACAAAAAGGCATTCAATAAATTAGTCTCCTTTCTTTCTATCTGAAGATATTTTAATTCTAAAACAGATCCAAGGAGATATTTTAACTGTATTACCTTTTGAGAGAGGAAAAAAAAGAGTTTTATAAATTGTAGTTCCAGAAGTGAAAGAAGCAATAATGGGACCAGAGAAACTGAAGAGCAGAGAAAACCCTGCTTCCTGAAGAGAAGATATCATGGAACTAGAGTATTCCTTTCTTATGAAGTTTAACTGTTTTGCTGATAGGCTTCTTATTAGCATTTGGGCCACTTTTCCTATTATATGTGCCTATTAGCTATAATCAAGAAGAGGTTTTGTCTAGAAGTCAAAGGGTAAAGGTAAGAAGAGGAATAAGCAATTGCTTCAACTTTCTCATTGAAACAGAAAGCAAGGGATGCCTGGGTGGCTCAGTGGTTAAGCACCTGCCTTCGGCTCAGGGCATGATCCTGGAGTCCCAGGATCAAGTCCTGCATTGGGCTCCCTGCATGGAGCCTGCTTCTCCCTCTGCTTGTGTCTCTGCCTCTCTCTCTGTGTCTCTCATGAATAAATAAATTAAATATTTCAAAAAAAAACAAAAAACAAAAAACAGAAAGCAAGATCATCAGTGAGAGCAAAGATTGGGAAGGAGCTATTGGGAGTTTTGAAAGAAAAGGGCTAAGTATAAGAGTCTTCTACAAGTCAGTAAGGTTATGATTGCCAGGCAGCAGTTCCCTTAAAGGGGGTCCCTTAAGGTTGAAATTATGAATTTTTATATTTTTAAAAAGACTTTATTTGAGAGACAGATAACAAGAGAGTGAGCAGGGGCGAAAGGGAGAAGGAGCCTCCCTGCCCCAGGTCCTGGGATCATGACCAGAGCTGAAGGCAGATGTCTAACTGGCTGAGCCACCCAGGCACCCCTGAAATTACAAATTTAAAGCAAGACTGGTCAGCATGCTCATATTTTCCTCCAGCTTCTCTAGAGATACTAGCATGGAGTAGTGTGAGTTGGATTTTTAGTACTGTATAGAAAAAGTGAGAGAGAGGTAACAGAGTTGCAACTAGATGTAAATAATTGATTTTAATATTTGACTAGAATTTAAGCTCAGTAAAGAAATGAGAGGAGGACATCAAGGAATAAGACAGTGGTGGAACTGGGGATCCCTGGGTGGCGCAGCGGTTTGGCGCCTGCCTTTGGCCCAGGGCGCGATCCTGTAGACCCGGTATCGAATCCCACGTCGGGCTCCCAGTGCATGGAGCCTGCTTCTCCCTCTGCCTGTGTCTCTGCCTCTCTTTCTCTCTCATTCTATGTGACTATCATAAATAAATAAAAATTAAAAAAAAAGACAGTGGTGGAACTGATGAATTAGAGGTCTTGGTGAGATCAATGAATTGTTGAATTTGGGGAATTAAAGGGTATCAGGTGATAACAGAGATATAGATGCCTAATATTCAGATTACAGAAAAACTGAAGATGTTTTGAAATGACAAGGTCTAGAGCAAATCATGATATATGATAGAATCCAAGAGGAGAGGAATTTTTAAAATAAGAAGCTAACATCTCAGAACAATCAGCTAACAGATATTGAAATTTTCAATAATAATGACAGGAGTGGTGTTGCAGGGAATAACAATACATCACGTGGCCTGTAGGTGTCACAACAGTGAAGGATGATATGGTCTGAAGACCAGAAGTTCAGAGTATGGTGTACTACTCCATATCTCAACCCTGTGGTACAAGAACCGTGGGAAAGGGACGCCTGGGTGGCTCAGTGGTTGAGCGTCTGCCTTTGCCTCAGGGCATGATCCTGGGGTCTGGGATCGAGTGCCGCATAGGGCTCCTTGCAAGGAGCCTGCTTCTCCCTCTGCCTATGTTTCTGCCTCTCTCTTTCTGTATGAGAGAGAATGAATGAATGGATAAATGAGTGAATGAACAAATAAAATCTTAAAAAAAAAGAACTGTGGGAAAAATTTTTTACTTTAGAGGGCTACAGGACAAGAAGCAAGGTTCTCAGGGAAGAGTAAGATTTCTGTTAAAGCAAGAAAAAAGAAGTAAAGAATATAGATAATGTCTCTCAGGATAGACTGTGAATTCCAGAGGACAAGTGGAAGTCGCTTAGAAGTTGGGATAAGCTGAGAGAAGGAAACAGTATATGTGGTGAGGTTTTGGGGAATTAGTATGAGAGATGACTGTTGACCTGGAAGTACACAGCTTCTTGTGGTGTCTGGCATAAGCAAGGATAACATTATTAAGTAACTATTCAATTAGACACTGATGGTGAGGCTGCTGTGTGGATAGACATCAGACAATGGAAGGAAGGAGGTCTGAAGAACTGTGCGTGATCTTAGTCTTAAACACAGGGCAATCCTCTTGACCCAGATGATAGTTGACATCTAGAAAAGCAAGTTGCTACTCAATGCACAAAGCCCTGATCTTTACTCTTGTCAGTGGGAGAGAGGGAACCTGAGGACATGGGGTTTTAGTTCAATGCCTAAGTTAATTCTTGACTCCTGTTGGTAGCATTATAGTTAATTATGAGTGTATAATTTCCTTTAGAGGTTTTATGTATTTATTTGAGAAAGAGGGACAGAGATAGCGACAGAGCACAAGCAGGGAGGAGAGGGAAAAGCAGGATCCCCACTGAGCAGAGAGCCCGATGCAGGGCTCAATCCCAAGACAGTGGGATCATGACCTGAGCCAAAGGAAGATGCTCAGCCAACTGAGCCACACACGTGGCCCCCCCTTTGAGTGTATTAATTATGTTAGCTCTTGCTGACAAAGCATAAGAGGTCTGGGGAAGCTGGGGAATGCTTTCACCTTATGGGCCCTTTCTTAACCAATTAACTAATGATTCCTGGTCTGGGCTCAACCAAATTAAGTCAGAATCCTTGGAGGTGAGACCTAGGCATCAGTACTTTTTAAAGCTCCTCAGGTAATTTTAATGTTCAGCCAAGGTTCAAAATCACTGTTGTATTCTGTTAAGCTACTCTCCTCCATAAACAATTAGACATCATGAAAGTTTTCAATGAATACATCTTTGCCTACAACTTTTAATAGTATTCACAATTTAATATAATAGTTGCTGGGTGCCTATGAAGTGTAGGGAACTATGCTAATTGTTGTGGGAGGATCCTAAAGTAAACTAGAAATTATTTTGGCCTTAAGGAACTTTTAATACAATACGAGGATAAAGGATGTTAACTATAATACAAAAAAAGCATAAAGAAGGATATAAAGGTATAAACAAAATGCTGTAAAAACACAGGCTGTGAAAAAATTAAATCTTTAAACAAATGCTTCACTTAACATTATATGATATTGAAATTCAGGTAACTACTGATGTTGAAATAGGAAGAAAAAGAAAAACTAACATATTCATTTTACCTGGCAGTACCAGTAAGTTCAATAACTTTTTGCCTTTTCAAATCAGCTTCACGTGTGGCTGCTTCACATTTCTCCTCCATTTTTCTCAACTTTTCAGCTGAACTTTCCCTTTGTTTTTGAAGCTCTTGTTCCAGTTTTGATACCTTATAAAACAATTTTCATTAAGTATTTTAAGTTCAGTCACAGTATAACATTCTTTGGAATAAAAATATTTATATAAATTTTAGCCTATCATTCAGTTTCCAGATTCCAGTTTCCAGTATTATAAAACTCAAAGTACAGAGTAGGAAGTAAATGTTTTGGAAATAAAAAGGCAAAACTTAACTTTGTATAAGATATTTCATTCATATACATATTTAGAAGTAGCCACATCATAACACTAAGATTTACAAGAATTGAACAAAATAATGATTAATGTTCCCCTTTTCATTATCCAAATCCATTTGAAATGTTTTCTTCTCTGGTCAAACTATGTTGCTTTCCTTCTTCACAAATTCATTCATTCATGAAGACTTCTAAATTCCCAACTGCTAAAAAAAAAAAATAAAAAAAAATTCCCAACTGCTCTCAAACATTACCACTTGTATTTGCTCCTATTATTTCGTCTGTTCTCCTACAGTGAAAGACGTATTTTTTTCCTACCATATAAGTCAAATTGCTCCTGACTATCACTGCTCTCTCTTCTTGGCTTCTTTATATTAGCATTTAAAATGTTCAAGACATTCCCATTATGAAAAACTATCCTCCATACCTCTACCTCTCTCCAACTACCACCACCCTTTCTTTCCTCCTCTTCAAAGCCCAATTTCCCAGTTTCCTATTCTTGTATCATCTTCTCACTTCTCATTCACTCCCCAAACCAAAGCAATTTAGCCATTCTACAAAACTGAGCAATGTCACTAACGACCTCCATGTTGCTAATTCCAGTGGACATTTCTCAGCCCTCATTTTACTTGATCCTGATTTCAGCAGCCCATGGCACCAATTATCATTCCTTAATTCATGAAATACTTACTTTGGCTTCTATGGCTTCTATGTACCATATCTCATAGATTTCTGTCCAAGTTAATCTTCTCACCTCTTATTCTGTATTTTCTCCCTAGTTAAACTCAGACACTCCATGTTTTCAATGAACATCTACATGACTGTGCTCTTCAAGTTAATTCTGGCTAATGGCTTTAATATCCTCTCTGCTCTTCTAAAACCTCTCACTAAAGAACTGAATACAGATTATAAGTTATTAATACCCACACTTCTAATTCAAGTTCTAAGAATAAAATTAAAATAGAACCCAGGTAAAAACTAAAGAGAACCATCTGTGTTTTATTAAATAGCATACTCATAAAGCAGAAAGAATCTAAAAATGAGTAATAATCTGAAAGGATCTAACATGGAATCTATGCATACTGGGAAATAAATGAAAGGCAGAAAGAGAATTCTGTATACACTGGAATATTTACTCCAAATACTAGAGAAATTTTGAGATAGAAACTTCTTGGGCAGCCCAGGTGGCTTGGCAGTTTAGAGCTGCCTTCAGCCCAGGACCTGATCCTGGAGACCCGGGATCAAGTCCCACATCAGGCTCCTGCATGGAGCCTGCTTCTCCTTTTGCCTGTGTCTCTGCCTCTCTCTCTCTCTCTCTGTCTCTTGTGAATAAATAAAATTTAAAAAATAAACAAAAACTTCTTTAGACCCTCGAAGAAATTAAAGAACATACAAAAATCTCTTAAAGATCACAAAGAAAAAAAATTACCAAATGAGTATACAAATGAATTGGTAGATTTATGGGGGAAAAAAAGAGACGAAAACCGTAATATCATTACTGAAATGAAAACAACTTCAGAAGGAACAAGAATTTTAATCAATTCTCAAAACCAGAGTCAACAACAAGGGACTTAGGAAGTGGGAATCAAGCGCAGAAGAGATGAAGAAATGCTTTTGGATGAAGCTGAACAGTAGGCATAGCAAACAATAGGTCTAGACTTTAACAAAGGGATGGAAAGCCACAGAACAGCTATCTCTTAAAAAAAGAAAACAGGGACTACCTGCTTCATATTTCTGAATGTATTGAGAGATTCTTTAGTTCCACTGGAGAGGCTGAAGATGAATTTAGAATATATTAAAAAAAAGTCATCCAAATTACAAAAAGGTAAGGTGTTGTGAGATTATAGGGAACGTTTTTTAATTTATACATTTTTATAAAGTTTGAACAAGAAAAAACAAAACAAAAAATATGAAATAGCTGTCCAAAGAATTCAGATGAACTGGTAATGAATGAAAGAGAAAAGATTCAACTCTAGTATAAAATTCCTAAGATTCTTTCATTGTAGTTATAATTTAGTTTTAGAAAAATAGTTTCCTCAGCAGCCCTGGTGGCTCAGCGGTTTAGTGCCTGCCTTCAGCCTAAGGTCTGATCCTGGAGACCGGGGATCGAGTCCCATGTCCGGCTCCCTGCATGGAGCCTGCTTCTCCTTCTGCCTGTGTCTCTGCCTCTCTCTCTCTCTCTCTCTTTCTGTGTCTCTCATGAATAAATAAATATTAAAAAAAAAAAAAAGAAATAGTTTCCTTTGGAATTTTTCTTGTAGTACACTGCTTTAGCATTTCTTTGGGGTTATCACACATCCTGATCCAAAAACATGATTGAATGAAGAAGTCTAAATTATAACTAAGTTCCATAGATGATAAAAATGTGCCCATAGCATTAGAGATGTAGGTTAGAATACACAAAAATAGAATTTCACCTATTTTTCAATGTTAAAATAGAATATTTCTTAGACTAGGAAATCTTTTCAGGTAAACAGCAATTAATAACAAAATATTTATTACTGATTTTTAAAATTTCTATTTCATACAAGTGAAACTATTTTGACCAATAATATATACCTGTTTTTCAAGTTTAGTTTGAATGTCTTCTAGCTCTCCATTTCTAATTGTTTCTTGTTGTAACATTTGCTGCTGTTGCTGAAGAGTATGCTGTAGAATAACATTCTGCTCAGCAGTCTCTTGAAGACTGTGATTTTTTATCTTTAGCTCTTTCTGTAAGCAGTATACCTAACAAATATATAAATTTCTCATTAAAATGACATTTCAAATAAAAAGCCGTAAAATGTCAAAGCAGTCTTCCTTCTTACCTTCACGTGTCATGTGGGATAATTGTATTTATGGCTATAGTTTGTTACATGGAAGGGCAGGTTCATTTTTCTGATGGGAGGATACGTTAGAAGGGTCTGTTTATAGAACTGACTCTTGGATGGTGTCTGGGAATGTGGCTTCTGAAACATTCCCTAAGTGATGAGATTGTTTTGGCTTATGGCACTGAATCACACTTTCCTTCTGGGAGTTTCTCATTTTGATACTTGTCCTAGGTGACTAGCCCCCAGTAAAAATCCTGAACTTTGAGTCATAAACAAACTTCTCTGGGCAGAAACAATGCACACACATTGCCACATTTCACTGCTAGAGAAAGAAGCATGTTTTATGTGACTCCTCTCAGAGAAGGGAGAGAACCCAGGAAGCCATGGATTTCTCCACGCTACATATAATGAAACTTTCTCCTTACTGATAATAAACTATAGGCATATAAGCACTGCATAAATGTTAGGTGCTATTTATTATATTATTGTTGTAACTATTGCTGTTGTTTATAAAATGGTATCTCAGTAAATCATGCAAATATTCACGATCCAAAAAACACATAAAGGAGGGGCACCTGGCTGGCTCAGTGGTTGAATGTCTGCCTTTGGTTCAGGTCATGACCCCAGGGTCTTGGGATCAAGTCCCACATTGGGCTCCCTGCAGGGAACCTGCTTCTCCCTCTGCCTATGTCTCTGCCTTTCTTTCTGTATCACTCATGAATAAATAAAATCTTAAAAACAAAAACAAAACACATAAAGGAATGACAATATCAACTAAGAAACTGTATTCATTCACTCCACATATTTAAGGCTTGAATATGCTGGTCCTCAAAATTGCTTTAAAAGATACCTTTAAAATTATCTGGAAGTATCTACTAAGAAGGAAAAAAATTCCCTTTGTCCTAATAATCCAAATCCAATAAATCTGCCAAAAGAAATTATGTTAAAATCAAATTAATAATGCAGCATAATTTAATATTTATTTTGTAATATTCTTTACCTGCTCCCAAAAAAGGAAAAGTTTAATAAATGATGATATATCAATCTGATTTAAAATGATGCAACCACTTAAAATCATAATTTAAAAGACAGGAGCAAATACAATATTTACAAAATGAAATTAAGGGGGAAAACCCCCCAGAATTACATTTCACTAACATAATTATGAAAAACAGGCAGGCACATAGACTACTGAAAACTTAAGTATTAGAAAGTGGATTGTAGGTAAATCTTTAAAAAATTTCTTATTGTTGCTTACATAACAATTTTTAAAATGAAGGAAAATAAAAGCCTTTCTTTTAAAGAAAAAAAATCTTTCCAATAAGTATTCCAGAAGAAAGAATTTTTAAACTGCTAGAAAATAGTAGAAGAGAACTCTGACTTGGTCCTTTCTTCTTATCCAGTATCTCAATAATTCATCTCAATAGAGAAAGTTGAATTTCTAAATCTAATTCTCAATCCTTTAGACAACCAGAAGGAGCAAAAACAAAATGAAAAAACTTGAGGCATTTTATATTTCTAAATCTGAAACAATATTCTAAGTGTTAATCATTTCATATTAGAATTACTCTCTATATTAATCATTTTATATTAGAATTACTCTCTAAATAATTTCATCTTCTGATTCCCTAGAAATAGATAAAAGAATCAGAATTTAAGGTGTCATATTTTGTGTTGCACTGAATTAATGTTTGTTATAAACAAAGAATATAGGACACCTAGGTGGCTCAGCGGTTGAGCGTCTGCCTTTGGCTCAGGGCATGATCCCACAGTTCTAGGATTGAGTCCCACATTGTGCTCTGTGCATGGAGCCTGCTTCTCCCTCTGCCTGTGTCTGCCTCTCTCTGTTTCTTTCATGAATAAATAAATAAAACCTTAAAAAAAACAAAGAATATAAAATTAGAATTTATATTTTAATGTAAAGATTTTATATATTTACCCGAGAGACAGATTACAAGTGGGAGGGAGGGGCAGAGGGAGAAGCAGACTCTCCTCTGAGCAGGGAGCCACTATGGGGTTCCATCCCAGGACCCGGGGATCATGACCTGAGCCAAAGGCAGACATTAACTGAGTCACCCACATGCCCCTTAATGGAAAGTTTTTTTTTTATTATTAGCTACATTAAGATGTACTTTTAAAGAATATTTTTTAAAAAATCTCAAAAAGAAATCATGTGAAAAATATGCTATTTACAAAAGTGCTAATTTACCTCTTCAGATTTCTTCTTTAGCTGCTTTTCAAACTTTTCCTTATTTCCTTCTAATTGATTCAAATGCAAGGCAAGTTCTTCCTTACAAATTTCCAGTGCTGAATCTAGTTGTCTGACCTAAGCAGGAAAAAAGTAAAAAAAGAAAAATCAATTCATAGTAATGAGTGATTATATATTCAATATTTTACAGGTTTATGTTACCTAAATGCTTCAAACAGTGAATACTCAGCCCAACTTAGGGTACAAAATGGTATTATAGAAAAGATTTATTTAGAAAACAAATTTTTCATTGCAAATTAGGAGATCGGAGATTGAGGTCCTGGAGAATAAACAGAACATGAACAAGTGAAGAAGGGCATTCTGGGGAGAGGGAGTAAGTCCAGAGACAAGACAATGTGAAAAGGAATGGTGTGAAGTTGGTAATTTAGGGTATGAAGAGTATCAGTTTATAGGAGATGGGTATTTGGGAGATTAGATTGGAAAGACATACTGGGGCCAACTGTCAAGAACCTGTAGACCAAATGCCCATTTACCTGGAATAGGCAATATATAAGCCTATTCCTTAAGTTCCCTTGATCAAGGAAAAAAGCACTGGTGTACTATGCTAATAATTCTATGGAGTGAATATTCTAAATATGATGAAGTCACTAAGAAAATGAAAATGTTTCTGTAAGCTAGAAAAAAAACTTAGGAGGCTGCATTTGTTTTAAATCAATGAAAACATTTTCAGAAAGGCAGCACTGTAACTTGGTTCAATAGCTGCAAATGCTTTACACTGTAACCTTAATATTAAAGAACAAATGAGCAAAGAGCAACCCAAATTCAGTAACTTTTTTTTCCACAAAAATTAGTTCAAGGGCCAAAATTTGCACATGTGATCCATATCCCACCTGTCAATAAGATGCCTGTCTTGCTCCTTTCTTACTATAATTTTGAGCTTTTCGGGAGTGTTTTTTCCCCCCTTAAAGCAAGCATTCTTATAAGTCATCTTGAAGGTGTAAAAGAAATCTCAAGATGAGAAAAAGAGAAAAATGCTCCCTCTTGCAGATACTATTTATTCTATATCATAAAATTATTCTTGCAACTCATTTCTAAATAGACAATCTTGAAAGACAATTTTTGAAGACAGTCCCTCTAGCCTGTGAGTATAACCATTAACAGCTAAAGAGTTGGTAATTTTGAATGATTATCCTTGCTAATAAATTATTGCCCTAGTATAATAATTTTTAAATTAATGTTTGTTTTATGAAAGGTATAAATACTTAAGAGTATTCTTTCTTTTTTCTGAGGTTTTTGTTGTTTTGAGTTTTCTTTCTGAAGCGTGAGAATGAGCACTGGCACTTGTATCATCCCCGCACACAGAGAAGAAATAAAATCTGGGGACTGTCAGAATACCACACCTGATAATTAATAATATAAAGACTAATTCAGGCAATATTTATCACAAGTTATTAAAATTACTGGTTATAGGTTGTTGAGGAGTGGGGCATTCACATGGCCTGAAAGAATCACTGCACATTTTATTAATTATAAAGGAAAAAAATGTGCCCTTCACATGGTGAGATCTGGCAGCAATCAGCTTAAATAAAGTGCCAATATTGGCAATGCCAGTAATGGGGTGGTTTGACATGTGCTTCCTGATGGGAAGCAGAAGAACACAGTATAACTCATGGGATGTTCTAGTTGACCCAGACTTTTCAGAAGATTCAAGAAGAATAGGAGAATAGAGAGTGAGCTTAGGGAAACCTAAAGTGCCAAAATCAACAAGTAAGTATAATTGAATCCTAGGCTGGAAAAAGAACAAGAAAAATCTAAAGTAGTGTTTTTAAAGGTTTTAATGAGCATACAAGTCAGTTGGGCACCCTACTGAAATAGAGATTGTGAATCAGTTAGAAGGATAAGGAATAGGATGATACAAGACAGGAGACATGGGCTCAAAATATAAGGAGACACTCACTCTCAGGGTCATGCCAAGTGCCAACATTACACTTATATGACCCTGAGAGTAAGCATCTCCCTAAATTTTGCATCAGAAGTAATTCACTTTCTTCACCTTAGTCTCAATTCTGGTAGGCCTGGGTTACAACCGAAGGCCCAGGTAGGCCTGGGTTACAACCGAAATTCCACAAGTCAAACACGTTCCTAAGTGATGTTGATGTTGCTAGTCCACAGATCATGCTTTGAGTAACAAGGCTACAGAACGACTTTAAATAATTGGAAAAATTTCAATACTGACTGTGTGTTGAATGATGTCACTGAATTAATTTTTACTTTCTCAGGTATGTAGAGTGGTATAGTCACATAGGAGAAAGTTTCTGTCCCCAGGAGATGCAAGTTTAAATATTGAAGGTATAGGGCAGCCCCGGTGGCTCAGCGGTTTAGCGCTGCCTTCAGCCCAGGGCCTGATCCTGGAGTCCTGGGATCGAGTCCCATGTCAGGCTCCCTGCATGGAGCCTGCTTCTGCCTCTGCCTGTGTCTCTGCCTCTCTCTCTCTATCCCTCTCTCTCTCTCTGTGTCTCAAATAAATAAATAATTAATCTTTAAAAACAAAAAATAAAAGTCCCTTTAAAAGAATATTGAAGGTGTAAAGGGTTATGACATCTGCAACCCTCTCTCAGGTGGTCTCGCAAAAAGGAAATGTGTCTGTATGAGACTGGGTAGAGAAGCCTGCAAGGTGGGTATGTGCATACATGTGTATAGGGAGATATGAAATGAATGTAGCTACAGTTTAACAGTAAATCTAATAAAGGGTACACAAATGTTCTCTATACTTTCTATTTTTTGTAGGTTTGGAATTTTTCAAAATAAAATTTAAGTAAAATTAATAAATCAATTTAAAAAATAGTAAAAACCATTTACTACTCTGTTGAATTTATTATTTGAACAAGGGGTTTGAGAGTCTATATCTCATATGGATAAGCATCATTCACCTCATACCATTATAAATATACATGTATACATATGGACATGAATGAATAGAAATGAAAACAAAGACATTGCTTTGTTGAACCAAAGAATTTCCTCAGAAGTATAGTATGGGGGTAATCAGGTGTGGGCTCTAACCTACCTACCTTCAACAAAAGCAGCTAGGTTCTTTTTAAATTTTTTTCCACTTACAACTTTCTTTGGGAAAAGAAAAAAAATCCAGAGTGGAACATAAAAACAAAACAAAAGAAAATAAGTAAACAAAACTCTAAATCTAATAAGCAACTTTCTCAATATTCTATTTAACAACATGTAACATAACTGCTTTAATTTATTAGTTTCTTGTTCTTATTCAGAATTTTCCCATCAATCTTCTACTTCTCATTAATCATACTTTCATAAGCGATACAACTTTATTTTTTTATTTTTTATTTTTTAAAGATTTTATTTATTTATTCATGAAGGACATAGAGAGAGAGAGAGAGAGAGAGGCAGAGATACAGGCAGAGGGAAAAGCAGGCTCCAAGCCCGACGCGGGACTCGATCCCGGGACTCCAGGATTGCGCCCTGGGCCAAAGGCAGGCGCCAAACCGCTGAGCCACCCAGGGATCCCCAGTGATACAACTTTAAATTGATTCTTAGAAATCTCTTGCAGATAGAAAATTAATAATTTTTGTGACTTCATTAGTTTTATTTGTACTTCCTTTGTTAATGGTTGGATTGACTGCATTTTTCAAGAATTTGTCGATTGTGGGACGCCTGGGTGGCTCAGCGGTTGAGCATCTGCCGGTAGCTCGGGGCGTGATCCTGGAGTCCCGGGATGGAATCCTACTTCAGGCTTCCTGCATGGAGCCTGCTTCTCCCCCTGCCTATGTCTCTGCCTCTCTCATGAATAAATAAATAAAATCTTAAAAAAAAAAAATTTGTCGATTGTAAGAATATACTGATTTTTTTAAAGACTTTATTCATGAGAGACACAGGGGGTTGGGGAGGGCGGGCAGAGACACAGGGAGAGGGAGAAGCAGGCTCCATGCAGAGAGCCCAATGTGGGACTCGATCCCAAGTCTCCAGGATCATGCCCTGGGCTGAAGGCAGCGCTAAATCACTGAGCCACCAGGCTGCCCTTTGGTTATTTTTAAAGAATTCATTACTTTTAATGCAAAGAACAAACAGAGGTACGTAGAGGGACATAGCCAAAAGTCAACAAGGGAAAGTGGTAATCACATAATCAAGAAGAAACTAGATTTGAAACTTCAATTTTGTTGCTATAAATATCCAGTATGTTAAGTTTAATATAGCTTGAGTCATAGGAATGTTGCTTCTATATTTCTTCCTCATTTTGGTATTTGCCCCAGTATTAGAGCTATTAAGGGAATAAAATCCAATAACATAATTTATTCTTACTGATATTAATATCTGGTTATTAATATATAAACTACTAGATGGGTTATATAATTTAATAAAAAACAGGAGTTAAATAGCAACATTGATTTTATTTAATGAAATTATTTTATGCCTATAACTTTTATGATTTGTTCATGTTGATCTTAGAGACTATTTTTACATGAGGAAATGAATTGACATGGCGTTAAATGTTAAGTTTTGGAGAGTACTATACAAAGTTATGGATAAAGATATAATTGTGTTTACACAGGCATATTTGGTAACAAAATGGATTAAATACAGAGTACTAGGCAAAAATAACACTGAATTTTTAAAATATTCTTTATATTCAATCCATATATCACAGAATAAAGATAATAGCAACTTTGGACCTGTTTTTAACACTAAAAATACAAGGAAGAAATATCAAATATAAATACTTATTAAACTCGGTAACTGAGTATGTGCTGAGCATTACATGTATCTCATTTCATCTATTATTCCTACTGACCCTTCTCCAGAGTATTATAATCTGTATTTTTTAGATGAAAAGTTGAAATTCAGAGAGCTTAAATAACCTAGCCATTGTTAAAGTCAACTAATAAGCACCGTGAAGTCAGAACAGAAACCCAAGGCAACTTAGCTCCAAAACCCATTTTTTAAACCACGAAGACAGAGTAATTACAAAACTGTATTTTATCTGGAAATTTTGATTTCATCCCCTAATTAATCTTATAGCAGAACTGGTAAAAAGAAGCAAAACTCGACTGCTTATATATTCCTCTCCCTTCACTTCCTCTGTTTATTCTTTACTGGTAAGTAGCTATGCTTAAAAACACATTTTTTTGTTAAAAAAGAAACCTTGCTTAAGGCAAAAAACAAAAAAACAAAAAATAGGGTAAACAATCAACAAACCAGATTACCAAAAATCAAATAATTAAGATCATAATTCACATTGAAGAAAATATATTTACAGAAACTAAATTCACTCACTCAGGTAAAATCTTTACCTGAAAATTGTTATCTAAATAATTTTTACAATTTATAGAGAAAAGTATAAAAGCTACAGAATGTTCCTATTAAGAAAAAGGTTTTTAAAAATTAGCGTACTAGCCTTGATTGTTTCTTCAGATACTTGGTTCTGTAATGTTCTCAAAGCTTCATCTTTTTTCATGTTTTCCTTTTCCATCTCCTAAAAACACATAGATTGGTAGCAAAAATATGAGTATATGTATAAATATTCTGATTTTAGCATTACTAATGGGCTGCTAAACAATTGATTTAATTAGAATTGAAGGTAGGTTACAGAAACATAAATGATTAGTCAGCTTTAAACAGCACTTTTACAAAGGTGATTTTACCCCTTTGCTTTCTGTCAAGAGTCGGTCTAGTGATTCAAGATGATGCTGTTTACATATTATATCTTGCTGCAAAATGGACATAGTCTTTTCTTGTTCTTTAAACTGTTGGTCTTTCTTCTCTAGTTGAGATTCAAGCTAAACATATAAACACAATTTATTAACTTTCATATAATTTTTTTAAAATCATGAGACATTTTAAATAGAAGATAAAAACACACGATCCAACTACAGTTGACTCTTGAACAATGCAGAGTTTGGGGGGGGGCTGACCCTTTTGCAGTTGAAAATCTGTGTACAACTTTTGACTACACAAAAATTTAACTCCTGAGAGCCTACTCTTGACCAAAGCCTTACCAATAACAGAAACACATACTGATTGTGTGTGTTGATTAACACATATTTTGTATGTTACATGTATCATATTCTTATAATAAGCTAGATGAAAAGATGTTATTAATAAAATCATAAGGAAAATACATTTATAGTACTGCTGCAAAAAATCTACAAATAAGTGGATCCATGCAGTTCAAACTCAAGTTGTTCAAGAGGCAACTGTATATGCTGTCTACAAGAGACTCACCTGAGATCCAAAGACACAAACATGTTGAAAGTGAAAGAAGAGAAAAAGATATTCCATGCAAATAGCAACCAAAAGAGAGCAGGGAAACCTACACAAATATCAGATAAAACACTTTAAATCAAAAAAGGTGGTAAAGACAAGGAGGACATTATTTACTAAAAAATTCTAAGTAATAGTGAGATATAATAATTATAAAATTTATTCATGTAATGACAATCAAAATATACAAGGCAAAAACTGACAGAATTAAAGGGAAAAATAGTTTTACAAAAATAGTTGGAAACATCAGTACCCCACTTATAATAATGGACAGAAGACCAGACAGAAAATAAGGAAGCAGATGACTTAACATAATAAACCAACTAGATCTAATAGACATATACAGAACACTCTACTCAACAGAATACACATTCTTCTCAAGTGTAAAGGGGACATTTTGCAGGATAGACCATGTTAGGCCACAAATGGAAGACTCAAGACATTTAAAAGGACAGATACCATTCAAAGTACCTTCTCTAACTACAACCAGATGAAATTAGAAATGATGAATGAAAGGAAAATTTTAATTTTTTTTAAGATTTTATTTATTTTTTTTGACTGAGAGAGAGTGAGTGAGCATACAAGTAGGCAGAGCAGCAGGCAGAGGGAAAGGGAGCAGCAGGCTCCCCGCTGATCAGAGAGCCTGGTTCAGGGCTTGATCTCAGGCCCTGAGATCATGACCTGAGCCGAAGGCAGATACTTAACTGACTGAGGCATCCAGGTGACCCATGAAAGGAAAATTAAAAAATTCACAAGATTGTGGCATTAATTAAACAACAGATTTTTAAACAACCAATGAATCAAAGAAGAATTCACAAGGGAAATCAGAAGATAATTAGGAGACAAATGAAAACAAAAACACAACTTACAAAAACTTAAAAAGGACACAACCAAAGTGGTGCTAAAGGGTAAATTTACAGCTATAAATGCTTACATTAAAAAACAAAGATCTCGTCAATAATTTAACTTCAAAATATAAGGAACTAGAAAAAGAACAAGCCAAACCCAAAGCTAGTTGAGGGAACAAAATAATAAAGATTAAAGATCAACAAAATGGACAACAGAAAATAAAGAATATCAATGAAACAAAAAATTGGCTCTTAGAAAAAAATAAGTAAAATTGACAAATATTTAGCTGAGATTAAAAAACACAGAACTCAAATTACCAAAATCAGAAATGAAAGTGGGGATTATACAAAAGAGAGTACTATGAATAATTGTATGCCCAGAAATTGAATAACCTAGATGAAATGAACAAATTCCTAGAAATATAAAACCTATAAAGACTGTATGATGAAGAAATAGATCATCTGAATGACCTATGGCTGGTAAGATTTTAAATCAGGAATCAAAAATCTCCCAACAAAGAAAAGCCCTGAACCTGACAGCTTTGCTAGTGAATTCTACAAAACATTTAAAGAATACCAATCGTTAGGGATGCCTGGGTGGCTCAGTCAATTGAGCGTCTGACTTGTGATTTCTGCTCAGGTCATGATCTCATAAGTCATAGAATCAAGTCTGGCATTGGGCTCTGTGCTCAGGAAGGAGTCTGCTTGAGAGTCTCTACTTCTGCCACTCCCCCCATCCCTGTCCTCTCTCTCAAATAGTAAAATATAAAAAACAACAACAAAAATCTTTCTCACGCTTTTCCAAAATAAGAGAGATCACTTTTTTTTTTAAGATTTTGCTTATTTATTCATAGAGACACAGAGAGAGAGAGAGAGAGAGAGAGAGAGAGAGAGAGGCAGAGACACAGGCAGAGGGAGAAGCACGCCCCCTACGGGAAGCCCGACGTGGGACTCGATCCCAGGTCCCCAGGATCACACCCCAGACTGCAGGCGGCGCTAAACTGCCGCGCCACTGGGGCTGCCCGAGAGATCACTTCTTAACGAATTCTGAGACCAGTTTTAACCTGATACCAAAACCAGACAAAGACACTAATGGAAAATTATAGATCAATATCCCTTATGAACATTAATGCCAAATGAATATAATATTGATAATTCAAACTTAGCAGCGTGGTAAAAGGATTGTACACTATGATCAAGTAGGATTTATTCCTGGAATGCAAGGGTGGTTCAATATGTAAAAATCAATCAATGTAATATGCCATATCAACAGAATGAAAGAAAAAAAAAAACCACATGATCATCTCAATTGAAGAAAACCTGACAAAATTCAACACCTTTTCATGATAAAAACACTCAACAAACTAGGAATAAAAGAAAATTACCTTAACATAATAAAAGCCATATATGGAAAACCCACAGCTAACATCCTACTCAAAATGGTGGAAGACTGAAAGCTTTTCCTCTAAGATCAAGCACAAAACAAGGATGCCTCCTCTCACTTCTATTCAGTACTAGAAGTTCTAGCCAGAGCAATCAGTGTCCATCAACAGATAAATGGATAAGCAAAACGTGGAATATACAGACAACAGAATATCGCTCATTCTTATAAAGGAAGTAAATACTGCAATATTTCATAATCTGGATGAACTTTGAGGACATTATGCTAACTGAATTAAGCCAGTCACAAAAAGACAAATACTATATGATTCCACTTACATTAGGTACTTAAGGTAGTCAAAATCATAGAGACAGAAATAAGTAGAATGATGGTACCTAAGGGATGGGGGGAGGGGATAATAGGAGGTATTGTTTAACAGGTACAGAGTTTCAGTTCTGATATATATTCCACAGGTCCCTAGGCTCTGTTCTTTTTGCCAAATCTTTTTTCTCTCTGTTGCTCAGATTGAGTAATGTTATTGCTCTATATTTCAAGCTCATATTTTTTTTCTCTTATTAGTTCCATTCTATATTAAATCCACCCAAATAATCTGTTTTTTACTTAGTCTTATGTTTTTGGTCTCACACGTTCTTCATTACCTTGTTTTTACTCTTTTAAACAAAAAACACTTCTACTCTCAATCCTCAAGCAGTTAATATCTCTAGTGGAAAAGAGTCTACAAAATCACTCTTACTTTAATAATGTCAAAAATAATTATTAAACTGAAAGGGCAAGACTAAAAAAAAAAACAAAAGAAGAAGAAATGGCAAGAGTATTATTTAAGAAAGCATTGTAAAATGATCCAGAAGTAATGGGATGCTAATTATAGTACTGGCTACTTTTCTATGTCTTTGTTTCCTTCTTATCTATTAAAAAAAGAAAGTGAGCTAGTAATGTTTAAGGTTCTTTTCAGCATTCATATTCTAAATATACATTGTATCTACTTGGAGAAACACAGTATCTTTTTTGCCATATACTTAACTATTTTGTTTCAAGTTTTTATTTAAATTCTAGTTAGTTATAGTGTAATATTGGTTTCAGGAATAGAATTTAGTGACTCCTCACTTACATATAACATCCAGTGCTTATCACAACAAGTGTTCTCCTTAATAGCCATCACCTATTTAGCCTAGCCCCACCTACTACCCTCCATTAACCCTCACTTTGTTCTCTATAGTTAATAGTCCCTTATGATTTGCCTCCCTCTTCCTCTCCTTCCTTATGTTCATCTATTTTGTTTCTTACATTCCACATATGAGTGAAATCATATGGTATTTGTTTTTCTCTGACTTATTTCTCTTAGCATAATATACTCTACCAGCTATTTACAACAGCCACTCTGGGAAATAGTATAGAGGTTTCTCAAAAAGTTAAAAATAGTAGTACCCTATGACCTAGGAATTGCACTAATAATTTATTTACCCAAAGGATACAAAAATACTGATTTAAATGGGCAAATATACCTCAATATTTATAGCAGTACTTAACAAAAGTCAAATTATGTAAAGGGCCCAAATGTCCATCAACTGGTGGATACACACACACACATACACACACACACAATGGAGTATTATTCAGCCACAGAAAAGAAAAACATAATATCTTACTCTTTCAATCTGCTTTTCCATTTCTTTATGCTGTTCAAGATGTATTTTCTTGGCCTTTTCAAAAGCTAAACAAATTTTCTCATGTTCTGTATTGATATTAGTTTCTAGACTTCTTATCTTTTCATTCTTTTCCTAGAAATACAAAAACACTTTAATGTCTCTGCCTCTCCCTCTTTGTGTCTCTCATGAATAAATAAAATAAATAAAACAAAACAAAACAAAACAAAACAAAATAAAATAAAATAAAATAAAATAAAATAAAATAAAATAAAATAAAATAAAATAAAAGGGACATCTGGGTGGCTCAGCACTTGAGTGCCTGCCTTCAGCTCAGGGCATGATCCTGGAGTCCCTGGATCGAGTCCCTGCATGGAGCCTGCTTCTCCCTCTGCTTGTGTCTCTGCCTCTCCCTCTCTGTGTCTCTCATGAATAAATAAACAAAAACTTAAAAAAAAACACTTTAAAAGAATATAATTAAGAACTAGTTTTACATAAAAGAATATAAGTAAAGCATTAAATTTGTCATATTCTATTTTTTGAAGACTCACAGTAGTGTATAAAACTTCAAAAATAAACATTTATTGAAAAGATAAAATGATTATTTTTAAAAACTGTATCAAATTGAAAAAAAATTTAACTATTTTAATAAGTGGCTGGGGTGCCTGAGTGGCTCAGTGAGTTAAGTGTCTGCCTTAGGCTCAGGTCATGATCTCAAGATCCTGGGATTGAGCCCCATACTGGGCTCCCTGCTCAGCAGAGAGTCCATTCTCCCTCTCCTTCTGCCCCTCACCTTGCCAGTATTCTTTCTCTCTCTGAAATAAATAAATAAAACCTTAAAAAAAAAGATTTACTATTTTAAAATACTGACAAGCATATCAAAGAAATATACTATTTCCTTCAATTCTACTAGAATAAAAACAAGAAATTACAGGTAACAACTTGCCATATAAGCCTATAAACTTAAATATGAAGAAACAAGAAAATGAATCCTCAGAAAAGTTTAGTAAAATTTATATTTTTCTATTTGGTATAGTGTATGACAATGATTATAAAACATGCTGTCACAAATCAAGTGCCTTAAAGTCACAGTGAATTTGTAGCCAAACAGTAATTTTTACCATAAGCTCCTGTTCTAGTTCTGCATTTTTTGCAGCAATAGAGGAATAAGCAACAATTTTTTCTTCCAGCTGTTTTTCGAGAGTTAAAAGTTGAGAACATTTCTTTGTCATCTGAAAAGACATTGTAATAATCAGTTTTTAAAAATAAATGACAATTTAGAAGAAAAATAGTGAGTGAAGACTGGGTATATGACAGATTGTTCTAGCTATGTAATACAAAAATAGTTTAATTCTGACCCCATGTCCAAATAGGACTTCATCCTAACTCATTTCTTAACAGTAGCTGTTAAAGACTGACATTAGTATAATAAAATGTTAACAATAGCTATTTCTGGTAGTGGAATTATTAATAATTGATTTTGTTCTTTGTCCTTTCTGTATTTTCAACAAAACTGTGCTAATTTTGTATTTAAAAAGTTATTAATCTCAGTACTAGATTATTTTTAAGTAAGCTATTGCCTATAATTTAGATTTAGACTAAATCTCTTTTTCTAGTACTTACATAATGTAAGTAATCCCAGAGATCTTTTCCTCAGTCTAGGCTACAGATTTTACAATGAGAAATCAGACATTTTAAAAGTACTTCCATAGATGGCATCAGCCTCAGTTTAAAGTGTGAGTATAACATATACACAAGTGATCCTGGTCTATTATTACCTGAAAAGGTGTCCTTGTTCTGTTCTCAATAGAAATGAGAATCAGATATTCACAAAACACACATTATGCAATTTTCAAAATGTAATCCAAGCATATCAAATTTATATGCAGTTGTTCACAAATTCAGATTCCTGAACATGACTCCATACCTACTGAATCAGAATCACTAGAACAGTACCCAGATCCACATTATTTAATAGGCTTCCCAGCTGGTTCTGCTGTTAGCTAATATTCAAAATCCTCTATTATCACTCCTTTTTTTTCCCAATGACATAATCCAAATTCTTTACTTGTAAATGTTTTTTTTTGTAAATGTGTTTTAGCCATATTAACTTATACTTAGAAGAAATAATAGACCACAATACATTACAAGTTCTATCATATATGAGACCTGTTAGCCACTAGAGAGTAATTTCTTACTTTTAACATAGATTACAACCCAAAGGTTTCCAAATATAATTTTAAGAGAATTTATAAATGATGTGGTACCATTACTTTTTTTTAATGTATAAATCTGGACTTAACACATACAACTTTTACAAAACTCTATAATATCTTTTTTGTCTCCAAAGTTAGTACATATGAACAGCTCATTCAAAGCTTACTTCACTTTCCAGTTTGCTAGAGCTTGAAGCTTTCTCTAGCAGCTCCTCTTGTATCAGCTGAAACTGACTAGTTCTGTGAGCCATATTAACCTTCAAATCAGAATTCTCAGCTTCTATTTGCATCAACTTAGTACGTAGTTCTTCTATTCCAGAAGCAAGTCTTTGCCTTTCTTTTTCATATTGCTTGCTCACAGTATGTTGACGGTCTTTTATTCTTTCTGCTAACAAACATAAAAGGAAAATTATTCTGTATAAAAACTTAAAGAATAAAAACCTAGTCAATGTTGAAGGATTTAATCATAAAAAAATAATTCCTCATCTGAAGAATTCTAAAAGAAATGGAGAATGAGACATACATTAAGGAAAATATAATGAAGGAACATGGTAAAGAAGGTATTTCTATTACTAAGTACATCACAAAGTAGGAATAAATTCCTCAAAATCACTCACTTTTCTGGACTATTCCTTCATACCAGAAAAAGCCTTTCTCTACCTATAAAAGTTCCCATTTATTGGATAGAAAACGTAAAACAAAGCATTATTTAAAAGAAAGTTGTCCTGTTTCCTTAAACTGAAGTTAACCATAAAATTTCTCTAGATAACCTGGCATCATTAGGAATATTTTGATGAAGTGTATATAGCTGCAAGTTCACAAGCCAAAGGCAAGGGAATCCTTTCTAAACAAAGGTAGTTGTTCAAATACATCCTTTTTTCACTACAAACATATAAATCTACTCCCACCTAAAAGTGATTGAGCTTTCAGGAGTGCTTTAAAGAGGCATAATGTATACATAGGTACAGAAATTAGTAGAGATGCACCATGCCTTCAAGGGTTGCATAAGTGCTATTTCCTATCAATTTTCCATATCCCTAATATTTCACTTACTAGACTATCATTAGCTCTATACTCTTTGATGTAAGATAATTTATGACATATTCATCAACACCTCTACTAACTAGCATTCATTTTGCTAATCTCATTACTCATCCCTATTCTATTTACTTAGATATCTAATTCTCTCTGCTGTCATTTTTCCTGCCACCAGCCAATCATATTTGAAGACAGACCATGATAAGTTGAAGATACATATGTTAACCTCTAGGGCAACCATTAAGAAAATAAAGAGGTATAGTTAACTAATCAACAGTAGAGACAAAAAAATGGAATATTAAAATATAATTGATCCAATAGAAAGCAGGAAAGATGAATAAAGGCCATTAGAATAAACAGCAAATGGGATGCCTGGGTGGCTCAGTGGTTGAGTGCCTGTCTTCGGCCTAGGGTGTAATCCTGGAGTCCCAGGATCGAGTCCCACATCGGGCTCCCTACATGGAGCTTGCTTCTCCCTCTGCCTATGTCTCTGCCTTTCTTTCTCTCTCTCTCTCTCTCTCTATCTCTCAAATAAATAAAATCTTTAAGAAAAAATAAATAGCAAACAAATATCAAGATGATAGTTTCTCTCTCCCTCTGCCCCTCTCCCTCCATGCTCTCTCTCTCTCAAAAAATCTTTTTAAAAAATAATAAATAGGGATGCCTGGGTGGCTCAGCGGTTGAGCATCTGCCTTTCGCTCAGGGTATGATCCCAGGGTCCGGGATCGAGACCCACATTGGGCTCCCTGCAGGGAGCCTGCTTCTCCCTCTGCCTGTGTCTCAGTCTCTCTGTGTCTCTCATGAATAAATAAATCTTTAAAAAATAATAATAATAATAAATAAAAATGTACTTTACTGAAGTAATATTTACTTATAGTAAGACACACCCATTTAAAATATAAAATTTGGGGATCCCTGGGTGGCGCAGTGGTTTGGCGCCTGCCTTTGGCCCAGGGCGCGATCCTGGAGACCCCGGATCGAATCCCACGTCGGGCTCCCGGTGCATGGAGCCTGCTTCTCCCTCTGCCTATGTCTCTGTCTCTGCCTCTTTCTCTCTCTCTCTCTCTCTCTCTCTGTGTGACTATCATAAAATAAATAAAAATAAAATAAAAATTAAAAAAAAAAAGTACTGAGAGTCCATTACAGACAAAAACACTTGGGTTGTTGCCCTAGATCTGCCACTTACTGTTTCCTAATTGGATTGTAGGAGGCGATTAACTTTAAAAAAAAATAATAATAAAATAAAATAAAATATAAAATTTGATATTTTGTCAAATGTTTCCCTTGTAATCATCACCACAACCAAGACATCTAATATTTCCATCAAAAGACATACAAATGGGGGGGATCCCTGAATGGCTCAGCAGCTTGGAGCCTGCCTTCGGCCCAGGGCGTGACCCTGGAGACCCGGGATCGAGTCCCACGTTGGTCTCCCTGCATGGAGCCTGCTTCTCCCTCTGCCTGTGTCTCTGCCTCTCTCTCTGTGTGTCTCTCATGAATAAATAAAATCTTAAAAAAAAAAAAAGACATACAAATGGCAATAGACACATGAGAAAATGTTCAGCATCATTAATCATAGGGAAATGCAAAGCAAAACCTCAGTAAGATATCACTTCACACCTGTCATAATAGCTAAAATCAAAAACACAATGAACAACAAACAAGTGTTGTTGAGGATGTAGAGAAAAAGCAATACTCACACACTGTTTGTGGGAATGCAAACTGGTGCAGGCCCTTAGAAAACAGGATAGAAGTTCCAAAAAAAATTAAAAGCAGAATTACCATATGATCCAGTAATTCCATTACTGAGTATATATCCAAAGAAAATAAAAACACTAATTCAAAAAGATATACACACCCCTATAGTTACTGCACAATTATTTATAACAGCCAAGATATAGAAGCAACCCAAATGTCCATCAATAAATGAATGGATAAAGATGATGGGGTGTGTGTTTGTGTGTATATGTGAAAAATGGAATATTAGCCATATAAAAGAATGAGATCTTGCCATTTACAATATGAATGGCTCACAAGAATACCATGCTAAGTGAAATAAGTCAGAGAAAGACAAATACTGCATGATTTCACTCATCTGTGGAATTTAGGAAACAAATGAACAAAGAAAACAAAGACAAAAAAACTATTCTTAAATATGAAGAACAAATTGGTGGTTGCCAAAGGGTGGGGGAAAGAGTTAAATAGGTAAAAGGGATTAAGAGTACACTTCTCATGATGAACACTGAGTAATGTATAGAAACGTTCAATTACTATATTGTACACCTGAAGCCAATGTAACACATTACGTTAATTATACTTCAATTAAAAAAAAAAAAAACAACAATGTTTCCTTCAGGATTCCTCATACTTCTCAGTTTTCTTTGGGTTTAATTCTGTCTTTAATTATTCTTATGGTGAAATGTTAGATTATAGATTTTAAACACTTTTTTCTTTTCTAAAATGTAAGTATTTAAAGGTATAAACTCATCTTTAGGCAATGTTGTAGTTGCATCCCACCAATTTTTATATGTTATTTTTTCATTTTATTCATTTCAAAATATCATGATATCTCCTGTGTTTATTTCCAAGTATTTAGAATTTTCCAGGTACCTTTTTGTTACCAGTAGTGGATATCAATTCATGAAGGAACCGGAGTTCAGTTTTTAAAAATGTTTTGAGACTTAGTTTATTGGCCAGCATATGGACTATCTTGATGAATATTTTAAATGCACTTGAGAAAATTGTGTATTCTGGTGATTATTGGGTTGAGTGACTGTCAATCATATTAAACTTGTTTATAGTACTTAAGTCTTCTTTCCCCCTAATGATTTTCTGTGTACTTGTTCTTTTTTTAAGATTTTATTCATTTTTTTATGAGAGACAGAGAGAGAGAGAGAGAGAGAGAAGAAAGAAAGAAAGAGAAAGAAAGAAAGAAAGAAAGAAAGAAAGAAAGAAAGAAAGAAAGAAAGAAAGAAAGGAAGGAAGGAAGGAGAAAGAGAGAGGCAGAGACACAGGCAGAGGGAGAAGCAGACTCCATGCCAGGAGCCTGATGTGGGTCTCGATCCCAGGACTCCAGGATCACGCCCGGGCTGAAGGCAGGCGCCAAACCGCTGAGCCACCCAGGGATCCCCCTGTGTACTTGTTCTAAGAGCAACTGAGAAAGTAGTTTTGAAATCTTCAATATATATGTGGGTTTGTTAATTTATCCTTCTAGTTCTGTCAGTCTCAACTCTGCTTTGTTTGAAATTAGTATAGTTATTCCAGCTGATTTTTTTTTACATATAATTGACATATATATAATGTTGTATTAGATTCAGGTATACCACATGATGATATACGTATATATTTTGAAATGATTACCACAATAAGTCTACTTAACATCCATCATCACATATAGTTACAAAGTTTGGGGAGACAGGAGAGCTTTTAAAATTTACTCTCTCAACAATTTTCAAATATACAATATGGTATTATTAAGTATAGTCACCATTCTATACATTATATGTCCAGGTCTTGTTTATCTTATAACTTAAAGTTTGTACCTTTTGACGACATTTACCCATTTTCCCCACCCCACCCCATTGGCTTCCCTCCGGCAAACACCAATTTGTTCTGAGTTTGTGTTGTTGTTTTGTTATTTTGCTTTGACATTTTATACATAAGTGAGATCATCCAGTATTTGTCTCTCTGCCTAACTTCTCATTTAACCTAATGTCCTCAAGGTTCATCCATGTTGTCACAAGTGGTAGGGTATCTTTTTTATGGCTGAATAATATTTCATTGTATATATACCACATTTTCTCTATCCATTCATCTGTTGATGGATGTTTAGGTTGTATCCATATCTTGGCTATTGTAAACAATGCCGCAATGAACAGAGAGTGCAGATATCTTTTCAAGACAGTGATTTCAGATGTCAAGTAAATACTCATCTCAGTTAAGTACATTTTTTAAAAATAATGCAAAGTTCAACAATTTTGAAATTTTTGTTGTCTTACCAACCCACAAGTAGTACTACCAGATTATCAATAATAGAAACTAAACTGGTAATCCATTTCTCTAAAAAACTATCATAAAAGACTTAGAATTAAAGAATTCAATTTATTTTATTTATTTTTTTTAAGAATTCAATTCAATACACTCACCTAGTTGATTACCTCCTAGTTTTACTGGTTCTGTCTCTAAACTATTTAATTTGCCACTTTCTTGTTTGTCATTACAACCAGTAAGACTCTGAGATAATTGATTTGCAGCCAAGTTTGCCTGAAGCTTTTGAATTTCTGCCTCCTTTATTGCCAGCTTAATCCTGGAACAAAATAAAATACACCAAAATTAGAAATATCCTATATAAATATACCATTTTTACCTTTCAAGTTAGCAAAAATTTTAGAACTCTGATATTTATTAACTACTGGGCAAGATGTGGAAATTCTTATATACCATTGAGTGGAATGTAAACTAGTTCACCTACTTTAAAAACTTGATAGTACATAGTAAAACTAAAAATGTACACGTACCATTACCCAGCAATTTCACTTTTAGGAATATATACTGGAGAAACTCTGGCATATTATAAAAGGAAACATGTAAAGGTATATATTTTGCAGCACTGTTTCTTTCTTTCTTTTTTTTTTTTTATTTATGATAGTCACAGCGAGAGAGAGAGAGGCAGAGACACAGGCAGAGGGAGAAGCAGGCTCCATGCATCGGGAGCCCGACGTGGGACTCGATCCCGGGTCGCCAGGATCGCGCCCTGGGCCAAACTGCTGCGCCACCCAGGGATCCCCTGCAGCACTGTTTCTAATAGAAGAAAACCAGAAACAAGGTAACTATCAATAAATAGTGATACCGTTATAGGATAGACTAACCATACTAATCCACCCATTGATCAGTCACTCTTAACTACCTACCTCAAATGTATGAACTTAAAAAATAATGCTGATTGAAAAAGCAAAATTACAAACGATATAAGCACATAGTGTATTTTACATATGTGGATATAAACATATACAAAATGGACTGAAGAATATATACCCAATTCAGGATGGTGTATACTTAGAAGAAGAATTCTCGAGATAGTGGGAAGGGAAACCTCATAATGTCTTTAGTTCTTACTTAAACACATTTGAAAAAACTATCACAGAATGTTAAGAATCAATTCTTAGTTGTGGAAACACAGATATTTGTTATATTTGTAGAACTTTTTGTATATTTTTCATCTTCTCAAAGATTTTAATTACCAATTAAAAAAAAACAACATTGTATTTGCTACAACTTAAGCATCTGAAAACCATACCTCAATTCTGAAATCACCATTTTATTTGCCTCACAGCAGCCAATGTCTTCCTTGTTTGACAAACTACTCATCTGGTGTTTAGAAAGAGATGATTTATAACCAAACATTTCTCTTTTTAACTGAAAATTTAAAAACAAACATATATAAACTTACAACATCTATGATGCAATTGTTTTATTATTCAGAACACCAATTGAAAACTTTTGTGAATTAATAGAAACAACATAATGTCCATCAATAGGAGCTATGTATAAATACATTATAAAATGTTAACAGGAAAACCACAAGAGTTCAAATAAACCTGCATTATATAAATCATTTGGAGACATCATATAACATACCATTAAGTGAAAATAACAGAGGCACATGTAGTATTTTCCAAAATAGATTAGCTATATATGTTTTTCTAGAGCATTCATATGTGGCAATATTTAAAATATGGATAAGAAGGATATACATGAGTTTTGGAATAATGCCTACCTCGGAGAAGAGGTGGGAAGGATTGGGATCCAACACAGTACATAAAGAGGCTTTATTTATCTGTAAAATTGTATTCTAAAAAATCTGAAGTGAATATCCTAATATGTTACTCAGATTTAGCAAATGGTATGCTGCATTGGTCTCTGCTTTTCTGTATGTTTGAACAATAGAGAATTTTTAAAATTAGTTGTGAAAAGGGGCAAGATAAGCACTTAATGACTACAACCAAACCAGGCTTTCTAGAAATGAAAAAAATTCACATTTCCAAACCATGTTATTATTATCACTGCATAAAACATCAAATCAGGGCAGCCTGGGTGGCTCAGCGGTTTACTGCCTGCCTTCGGCCTGGGGCATGATCCTGGAGACCCGGGATCGAGTCCCAGGACAGGCTCCCTGCATGGAGCCTGCTTCTCCCTCTGCTTCTCCCTCTGCCTCTCTCTCTCTCTCTCTCTGTGTCTTTCTTGAATGGATGAATAAAGCTTAAAAAAAAAATCGAAACAAGCATATATTACCACACCAATTTCAGAATCACATACAAAGTAATTCTTGATGTTGAGTCAAATGAGAATATCAATTTTAAATGAATGTTATCTGCATCTAATTACTATCAAATTTCAAAAGCAGTACATTAAAAACCTAAACAAATAATTAGAATCCTTGAACAGTAGATATAGCAGAGGGCTGGGAACCAAGAATCATACATTCTAGTTTTAATTCTATTAGCTAATTTAAAAGCTACTTACTTCCTTGGTGCTATGTTTCTTCATAAATAAAATGACAGCATTGAATAAGATGAGTTCTCAGGTCCCCGTAGCTTGTTAATTCCATTACAGTTTAAAATTCATAAGAGTCTACCACCCATCCAAATGTATTTGAAACCAGCCATGACACATTTATATATGTTTATTTATATATATATATATATATATATATATATATATATATATATAGTCTCTTGATCTCACTTTTATTTTATACCTATCAATAATGGATTTCTTTTAATAAATGCTTCTTTTATTTAATAAATAATGATTTCTGACCCAGTTATATTTACCTTTTTCCTAATCTCATTTATACATATGGTCATATATATAACTGAAAGAAAAATGGTAGTCAGCACTATCATAAAGACATTTTAATGTTCTGTGCATTCTAATAAGTACATAAAAAGCTGCTCAACATTATTAGTCATTAGAAAAATGCAAATTAAAACCACAATGTGATACTACTTCATACCCATTAAGGTTGCTATAATCTAAGAGATAGATAATAAAAAATGTTGGCTAGGGTGAGGAAAAACAGGACCCCTCACACATTCCTGGTGAGAACATAAAATGATACAACCAGGGATGCTTGGGTGGCTCAGCAGTTGAGTGTCTGCCTTTGGCTCAGGTAGTAATCCTGGGGTCCTGGGATGGAGTCCCACATTGGGCTCCCTGCACAGAGCCTGTTTCTCCCTCTGCCTATGTCTCTGCCTCTCTCTGTGTCTCTCATGAATAAATAAATAAAATCTTTTTAAAAAATGGTACAGCCACTTTGGAAAACAATTTAGCATAACTTTATCATATGATCCAGAAATTCCACTACTAGGTATCTAACTCAAGAGAAATGAAAGTACATCCACACAAAAAGCTGTACACAAATGTTCATAGCAGCATTGTTCTTAATAGTCCAAAAGTGGAAGCAATCCAAATGTCCATCTATTGGTGAATAGATAAATAAAATGTGGTATATCCATACAATGGAATATTCAATAGTAAAAGGAAATGAGTACTGATATATATCACAACGAATGATCTCCCAAAATATTTAGAATGCAAAAGACTTTATACTGTATAGTTTTATTTATATAAAATGCTCAGAAAAGACAAATCTCTAGAGGCAGAAAAGTAGATTGATGGTTCCCTAGGGGTGGGTGTGCATACAGGGACTAATTATAAATAGGTACAAGGGATCTTTTGGGGATGATAAAAATGTTTGAAAGCTAGATTGTGGGATTATTCCAAAACCTGTAAGTTTACTAAATATAACTGAAGAGTACAATTAAAATGAGTGAATTCTGTATTATGTCAATGTTACTCAAAGCTATTTTTAAAAAATCCTGAGTCGTTCTTACACAAGGCACCACAAGTCTAAGAAAGAGTGGAAGAGTAGAAAAGTTAAATGCAGAAAAAGAAAAGAGAGTACAAAAGAAATTCATGATTGAAAGTAGAGATATGTAAAAATCAATCAATCAATAAAAGCTAATAAAGCAACCATAAGATGATGACTTCTTATAAAGCATTTCAGTAAAATTTTCTTTTTCACCCATACTTACTGGCAACTGGGACATAACTTTTTCCAAACTTCTCAGTTCCACCCTTGAACTTTCTATTTCTTGCTGACACAAATCCAGTCGCTCATTCTGTGCTGCAACACGGAGTTTTAATTCTCGGTTTTCATTCATTAGAGAAAATTTTTCTCTAAGTACTTCTTTTTTGTCTTCTAACTCATTCTCTAACTTCAGAATACTTTGTCTAGATTCAGTTAGTTGTGCCATAACTTCTGAATTTTTCACTGCCATGATCCTTAATTTTTCCTTACCACTGTTATTTTCTTCTTTTAACTGCCTACGAAGAAAAAAAAAGCACAATAATGAAAATAAAATATACATTCATTTTCAGTAGTCACATTTAGTTAATATCACTTTTAAAATATTTTAAAGCCTTATTCTGGAATAATAATACCTGCTCACATGTACTGAGTGCCTACTTTCTGCACACCAGGTGCTCTCACAACTTTATGTAGGTAGCAGCACTATTATCACTCTCTGTTTATAGATAAGAAAATCAAGGTATAGAAAGGTTATAGAAACTTTGCCAGTGTCTCACAGTAAGTAGGAAGGCAGGATAACTCCATTATCTTCAAAGTACTTCTGCTCCCTTTTCAAAAGTATAAGACAGGAGATATAACTCAAAATCCTAATTCAACATATCACAACATCAAGAAAGTTTTAGATTACATAAGGAAAAGTCATGAACTATTTAGCCATAACTCCAAAAAACAGTAACCATTAACAGATTACTAGGCAGCATTATTTTCAAATACACACACACACACACACACACACACACACACACATACACATACACACACGCCTATAAAAAAAAATGTCAAGGGAAGCCCGGGTGGCTCAGCGGTTTAGCGCCACCTTCAGCCCAGGACGTGATCCTGGGGACATAGGATAGAGTCCCACGTCAGGCTCCCTGCATGGAGCCTGCTTCTTCCTCTGCCTGTGTCTCTGCTTCTCTCTCTCTCTCTCTCTCTCTCTGTGTGTGTGTGTGTGTGTGTGTGTGTATGTGTGTGTGTCTCTCATGAATAAATAAAATATTCTTAAAAAAACATGTCAAACATTAGAACAATCCAATCTTTAGAACTGTTGGTGAATGGATAAATAAAATGTGGTACATCCATACAGCAGAATAATATTTAACAAAAATGAAGTTCTGATATACATCGCAGTTTCCTTTATCAGACTGTTAATATCTCTGAAATGAGAAGGCTGGACTAGGTGATTCTTCATGATTTGAAGAACACATACTTTACTTACCAGTTAATGTTGTCACACTATAGGGATATGATGTGTGTGTATTTAGAAGTATATTAATATTAACATGTTTTATTCATTAAAAATCTTAATGTTGTACCTAGAAAAGAATTTCAGTCATGAAACCTATCTTTCTATGTAATTTAAGGCCATAATTACAATAAATACAATATACAAAATAATCTGTTTTAAAATGTTTCAGGTTTTTTTTCCATTTCCAGACAAAAATCCTTTTTCCACAACAGGATACTGTACCTTAATTTCTCTTTCAGAATTTCAAGGTCACTTTTATATAGACCACACTTTTCCTGTAGCCTTTTATTTTCTTTTTCACAGCTAATTAGATTTTTCTCTAATATTTCTTCTTCAACTTGAACCTAAAACAATAATTTGTTTTAAGTGGACATACTACTGTGGTCATAAATTTTAGGTGTTTCAAACTAAAAAGTAGTGATTTCAGAAATAAGCAGGAAAGTAGAGTAAGTACTTCACAAGTTTAAGTCCCTAGCCTTGTAGTGAAAGAAGCTAAGTAAACTTCCTGGGCAGTAACAAAGGACAGGGAGGGGAACTCAACCACCTGTTCAGAGATGGTTAAGAGCCTGTAACAGAAGGGCAATGGTACTATCATCTGAAAGCGAATGTTCTGGCCTCACAGGAGCAAGGCACGCAACTCATGTAGGGATGCTGCATCATGTTACTAAAGGCTAACTATACTGCAATATTTTTGAAGTAATTTTTGAAATTTTAGCCACTGAATACCCCCACTGAAATAACAGTCCAAGTCTAAGACAGGTAAAAGTCAAGCACGCAGGTTGGAGTGGTGGGAGTGAAGGGCTCAGAAGATCTGCCCCACTTCCTCTGTTACATCTGTGTAACTATGGGGCTCTGCTGAGCATGGTTTGAAACTGATAATCTTAAGTGAAAAAAAAATCATCTTACCTTTTCTTCTCTTTCCTGTATAAAATCCTCACTCTCCTGAGGACATCTCCACCCCCACACTGAGCATTCTACTTCCCGCTATGGATTACCTTATTAAAAATCCCTTTTGTGGTATTTCATTCCCACAGGAACCTTCTCCAAGGCTTTCAAAACAGTGATTTAATTTACACTTAAGACCAGTACCAAATGGGATCCCGATTTAAAAATTTTTTTATTGAAATATAGTTAACATACAATGTTAAATTAGTTTCAGTTGTATAACCCAGTAACCCAACAACTCTATGCATTAAGCTACACTCACCACAAGTGTAGCTACCATCTGACCCATATAACACTATTACAATACCATTGACTATATTTCCCATGCTGCATCTTTCATTCCTGTGACTTATTCATTCCATAACTGGAAGTCTGTATCCCCTACTCCCTTTTACCTACTTTGCCCTCCCCCTCACTCGCTTACTCTATGAACCATCAGTTTGTTTTCTTGATTTACAAGTCTGATTCTGCTTTTTGTTTGTCTGGGTTTTAGATTTCACGTATAAGTAAAATCATATGGTATTTGTATTATTATATTTTTAATAATATTTCTTTTACCCTTCTACCTTTCTTTGAACAGAATCATTAACTTCCTCTCTTTCAATTATTATCTCAAGACAAAAAGAAGTCTCTTGTGTCAGTATCCATTGACCAGACCTTCTGAGCTCAACGTCTGAATATTCAGCATTGTGGCCTTCCTCCAAACAGGTTTTATTATCCATCTGGTATTACTTGAAAATATTAAATGAATGTAAAAAAGCTACTATACTACTATGCAGAATCTGTTCAAGGAATCTTCCCTCTGAGAGGCAAAAGACAGACCCTCTCAGGGTGGTAGGTCCAGGGAGACCACCTGAAGGCTATACAGTCTACCCTGCCTTCATTTTCACTGAGGTGATGGGAATAAATTTTCTGCATCTATGTCTACAGCTCCAACCTCTGCTCAATCACCTCATCCTTCTCTGCGTTATTTTTTCCTTTCTCTATATGTTGTTCTTCTCCTTGTCTCCTTTCTTTTTCCACTTTGGATAAAAAAGTTTCTGCTTATTGTAAGAAGATTATAAACACCAGCCTTCACCAATATTTATAAATGTTTTTATTCCAACTATTTTATTATGAGGTCATAAAAATTATTCTGTTTTACTTATAAACAAATATATTCTATTTATGTCTATTTTTAGATTTAGAATATAGACAGTAACATAAAACACTGAATTGGCAAAAAAACAAAACAAAACAAAACACTGAATTGGCATATCTCCTTCTTACCTTTTCCAGTTTTTCAGCCACTTTTTCTTTATAATGTTGGAAAGCTTTACTCAGCTCTTCGGCATTATATAGTGCTTCATTCCTTTGTCGTTCAGCTCTAAAATTTAAAGAGGGATAATTAATAAAAGTAAAGAATGCTCTGCATTTGACTAGTCAAATTCCAAAGTAATCTATATTTTAAGGAAAAATGGATATACGAAGTACTAAAAAAGAGCAGTACTAAAAAGACTTAAACTACAAAATGAAGCCCAGAGACTACAAAAATTTCTTCACTATTATCAGTATGAAAAATGAAATATAAAACACTTAATAAGCTTTGAAACATATATACATTTTTATGTGTTGGCAATTTTGTTCTCTATCTGGAAAAGACAGATTAAGAGAAGTGGCCTAAGCTGTATAAATTTTCAAAGATCAGTTATTACAGAATCAGTCCACTGTCTAATATATTAAAAATACACAGTAAATCCTGTAACCGTTGCAAAGGGCAAGTAAATTCTCAAAAACATATTTCAGAAGATATATCTAAAAGATACAAAAATCTGAACAACAAAATCCAACCACTACTAAGCACTTAGTTGTTTTTTATTTTTAAAAAGATTTTTTATTTATTTACTCCTGAGAGACACAGAGAGAAAGAGGCAGAGACACAGGCAGAGGGAGGAGAAGCAGGCTCCATGCAAGGAGCCTGATGCAGAACTCATCCCAGGAATCCAGGGATCACACCCTGACCCAAAGGCAAATGCTCAACCGCTGAGCCACCCAGGCATCCCAGCGCTGTTTTAGTTGACCCTGACCTTTCCTCATACTTTTCACGTTGAATTGATACTGGGCTGAAATGTGGTTAATATCATACCCACACTGAAAAGTTTTTCTATTATTTAAACCTCTTCTCATCATATTCTTTCTAGTGTAAGGAAAGTTAGTGAACCTCCTCTTGTCAAGGTTGAATTCCTCTCTACTCTAGATCTCCAGTCTTCCCTTTCAGGGACATAACCTACCTTCCATACTTCCAGCCTTCTCTCTACTGACTTTCAGATTCTGTGGAAGTATCTCTTACTTTCTAAATCTATGTGGTTAAGTTTGGATAGCAACTGATGACAGCAGAAGTGAAGTATCTATTTGATTCCTAAGTTTCAGATAAATGGGAACAATAAGGCATCTATCTGAAAATCTAAGAGAATATATTCCATTACTTAGTCTGAGTAGCTAGAATTAAGAAAGCATAGGATACCTGTATTTCGCACTGAAATGAACAAAACCCTCCATTTGCTTTCTTCTCTCATCCTTCCTTTCAAGCCAAACTTATCTACCTTTACTTTTATCTTTTCTTCACCACCAACTTAAAAAAAAGTTAAGACATATTTCAACCACAGAGAAAAGTATAAATACATCTATGTACTCCCAAACCAGCTTCAAAGAATCTTCTCTATTTTTGCCTTACGTGGCATTTTTCTATTTTAAGCAAAGAAAATGTTATAGACATTACAGAGTTGACATCTCTGTGTGTCCCTTCCAAATCCCATTCCCTTGATTAGTATTACAGAGTTAACCTTAGTTTTTTGGTTCTTTTTTTTTTACAATACATTTTGTATATTCCCATGTTAACCTAAACCCACAAATAATACATCACAGTTCATTTATTCCAAGAGGCACATTGTTTTCAAATTTTTAACATCTCTATAATTGGTATGTATTTTATAATTAATGGTACATAATAGTTTCACGGTGATATTTTTTCTTGGTGACTACCTAAATAATGGTGCACCTTAAAATCTGTGTAATCTTACATTAAATAGAACATCATAGTTTCTTCCATGTTTTTATACTTTATGTGATCACACTATATATGTTTATAGCATTGTACTATATATATCCTTCTGCAGATTGCTTTTACTCAGTATTGTTCAAGAACTATGATCATCTTTATGACTATAAATCATTTTTTAAAACCTAGGGTATGCTATTCTATTAAATGAAAATACTGTAATTTATTCCTTTTTCATTTGATAGACATTGGGGTTGTTTCCACTTATACCAACTCAATGCAATGAGCATCCCAGTGTACAGCTTCTCAGCAATATGTGGAAGAGTATAAGATAATTAGGAGCTGAACTGCTTGATATTTTCCAAAGTATTTCAAAGTTGAAAGTAATATGTAGGAGCACTTCAACTTTATTAAATCTTTTTTAAAAATTAGCACAGCATTTGTATCAATTTATACTCCCAACCAAAAATGTGTATGAGTTTCTCTTGTACTACACTTTTACCCATGCTTAGAGAAGCAGTATATAATAATAAAATACCTACATAAGCCTCTCAACAATCTATAATGAAGGTAAGTGCCAAAAGCAAGACACTCACAGCTTATGTAACTTGTCCAAGACCTCACAGGTTACAGTGAATATAACCTATTTCCAAAATCCTTTACTTAACCATTTTGCACTACTACCTCTGATATGCTATTCAATCCAGTGGGCCCTAGAGCTATTGGGTTTATTTTTATTTATTTATTTTTTGAGCTATTGGGTTTAAATTCTAACTCTACCACTGTTTGTTCTCAATCTCTCTCTAATTGAGTTTCCTCACTTGTAAAATGAGGATGTTATCAATCTCATGTGGATATTTAAGAAGCAAATGAGTCAAACACTAAAAGCACTTAGAAAAGTGTTTACACATAATGAATGCTGAGTAGGTTATTACAATCGTCACCAAATTAAAAACTTTTGCCAATATAATAGTGTTGTGACTATACTCTTACAACCTCATTGTAGTTTTAATCTGCATTTTTGATCAAGTGTAGTTGAGCAATCTTCCAAGCTCCATTTGCCATTTGGATTTCTTGTCCTTTACCTGTTCAGATTCTTTGTCTTTATTACTAGATTTTCCCCCTCCCTTTTCTTCCTCATTTTTCAGAGGTCTTATAAATTCTGGATACGAATCTTTGTGAATTAAATTATTTGCAAATACTTCCCCGAGTATCTGTCTTGTCTTTTTCATTTTTTAAATGATGTGTTTTATAGAACAGGAAGTTGTTATTTTAATGCATTTTAAATTTAGCCATCTTTTCCTATAGTACTTAAGCTTTCTGGATCTCATTTATTTAAATTCAATTGATTAACATATATCTGGATCTCATTTTAAAACATTCTGCCTCCTTCCATGAGACATCATGGAAACCATTCCTCTGTATTTTCTCTAAAAGTTTTACGTTTCACAATTGGGTCTTAAACCCATCTGGAATAGTTTTTTGTATACAGGTAGGAGATAGGGGAGGGACAGTAAAGTATCCCCCAAACTGAGAAAGTACTTTGAGACCAGAAAACAAAGCACACCACTCCGTATAGGTCACACACAGTTTTATTCAAGGTAACTTAATGGAGGGTGGGGGAGTATGGAGATATCGGTTAGCAAAAATCCATGTAGAACCATGGCTACTCTCCATAAAGTCCAGACATTAATCTATAGATTTTATAAAGCAAGAGGACACATGGGGGGGGGGGCAGGGAGAAGACACTGTGGTGAGATCGAAGGGTTTGCATGCATCTAACTGACAGCGAACCTTTAATTAGATCTTGTGGCACTTAACCTGTGCATCCAAAAGGGGAAAGACAATGTTATTTCTAACAGATTCCTGAGAGGCCAAAGCAAGCCTCCCCCTATCCCTACACCTTAATAAGCATTTCTAAGGTATGTATGTATATTTTTCTCCAAGGGTCCTGGAACACGTAGCCGGAGAGGTAATCCAGTGAACATGAAAAAGACAGAGGGCCAAAAATAGAGTCAGTTTTGTCAGCACTCCTAAAGCAGGGATCTAATTTAATTTTTTTATATTAATAATCAATTCTCCCAGGAACATTGACTTTTTTGTTTTTTAAATTTCAAATTGGTACCCTTTAATGCAGATTCACTGATTTTTGATATCTTACAATTGGTTTTTCTCTCGAGATTTTTTTGTACTGAACTACATTCTATTGAAATTAGAATTCACTCTTAAATAGCATGTATCCTAAGAAAACAGACACTGCCTCATATAACCACAACTATCAAATTCAAGAAATCTAAAATTGTTACAATACTATTATCTAACATATAATTCATATGTAAGTTTTATCAGTTATTCCAATAATGTTCTTTATAGATCTTTTTTTTTTTCCTTCTGATCCAGGATCACACACTGCTTTTAGTTATATCTTTAGTTCATTTAATCTGGAATATCTCAGCTTTCTGTAAGTCAGAACAACTTTCTTTCTTTCTTTTTTTTTTTTACAACAATAGCTTGAATTTATTGAACATTTATAATGTCCCACAGAAAGTTTTACCTGCTTTATATACCTAATCAAATGGTTACAACTCAGTAAATCAAGGATTATCCTTATTTTGTAACTAGCACCCAGAAAGATTAAACAGTATGCCTAAGGTATGTCCTCACAAATACTAAGTAGTAAGCATGATGTATAATCTAAGAAGAAGGTGGGGTCTTGCTCTGAACCATCTGGGTACACAGACTACTGATACAAAATTAATGTCAAATAAGGCGCACAAAAAAACGTGCTTTTAGAATCATGCCATGCAAAATAATTTTCTCTTATATAGGGGAGTATGAGCATTCTCTGTTTAGTATGTAGAAAAAAACATTTCATATATATATGTATTTGTTACACACACAAAGGTTACTCAAAGGTCTATTCTGACATTGGTACTGAAAAGTCACGCAGATGAGATCTTCAAATGCCAGAATGCCAGAAGCTGATGGTCAATTCTGTGTTTACTGTGATTCAATGATTCTTCCTTCTTTTACTTCCTAATGTGATGATATATAAAGTTAAACGACCTATGACCAATGCTAACATAATGTGCAGCAGCTACTTAAGCTATTTGGAAGTAAATTATCACTACAACATGTTTTTCTCATCCTGCTTCCCTCTTTTTCTCAACTATCTACTATTTCTTAAGCCTTTGTGCTTCACCATGAGAGAAACACGTCAAACTAGGGTTTTCTTCTGTTCTCTAGATTGTTAATGTGTACCAAGTGAGAAATTCAGTAAATCAGTGAATGCATGCTGCTAAATATCTGCTTAACCTTGCCGGTTTCCT